GATTCTGACTCATAGTGACCCTATAGGACAGAGTAGAACTGCCCCATAGGGTTTCCAAGGCTGTAAACCTTTATGGAAGCAGACTGCCATACCTTTATCCCGAGGAGCAGCTGGTGGGTTAGAACCACCAACCTTTTGGTTGGCAGCCGAGTGCTGGAACCACTGCGCCACCAGGGCAGGATTTTAAATTTAAAAAGGTGACATATTTAGGATGGCTTTTTGAAAATCCAGGCCACTTGCCACAAGAACATGATGGTCAGTTTGTAGATGTAGTCTTTAGCATATTCCTTTCTTTCTTTGTTTTTGAAAAATTACACACATAATACGTAAGTATTACAGGAAGAAAAATTCCAAAATGCAGATGAGTAGGAAAAGGAAAGAAATAATTAATATGATGTCCAAATCTTACTCCTCAAAGATAACCTTGGTTTATATTTTGGTGTGGGCCCCACCCCACCCCTTGTTCTATCCCCAAGCCTCTAAGTGTTAAAGCATAATGGAAGCATGCTATCTTACTTCCATTTCTTTAACCTGCTTTTACTTATCATGTCGTGAATAATAGAAATCTCTATTCTCAATTTTAATGGCTACTCCATTTTAAGGCAGTACTGAAATTTTACATAACCAATCCTTATTTGAGAGCCCTGGAGGTGCAGTGGTTAAGAGTTCAGCTGCTAACCAAAATGTTGGCAGTTGGAATCCTCTGGTCGCACCTTAGAAACCCTATGGGGCAGTTCTGCTCTGTCCTGTAGGTTACTATGAGTCGGAACCAACTCAATGGCAATGGGTTTGGTTTTTTGGTTTAATCCTTATTTTAGGGGTAGTATTCAAGATGATAGTGGAGCCCTGGTGGCACAGTGGTTAAAAGCTCAGCTGTTAACCAAAAGGTTGGCAGTTCAAATCCACCAGCCGCTCCTTGGAAATCTTATGGGGCATTTCTACTCAGTCCTATAGGGTCACTGTGAGTCGGAATTGACTTGATGGCAACAACTATTCAGGATCATGACAATTTTTGCCTTTCTGAAAAAAAAGTTGTTACAGCCTTGTACATATGCCAGATTATTTGCTTCGGGGAAACTCCTAGAAGTTGAATTGCTAAGTCAGAATGATGCCCATTTTAAAGCATTTTGGTAGTTAATGCCAGATTATCCTCCAGAACAGTTGTACCAGTCCACTGTCTGGTAGTATGAGCCAGTCCTTGGCGTAACCTGAGGCATTTAACAAACCAAATCTCATTCTTTTCAAGGGTGGAACCAACTTTGATAAATCTTCAGTGGTGCTGCTATAGTTCTTACCTTAAAACCAGTTGCTAGCAGCTCCAACTCAGTGGTGTCAGAGGAGAACTGTGCTCCATAGCGTTTTCAATGGCTGATTTTCCAGAAGTAGATCACCAGGCCTTTCCTCCAGATTGCCTCTGGGTAGACTCGATCCCCCAACCTTTTGGTTCGTATCCGAGCACTTTAACTGTTTGCACCACCCAGGGACTCCAGTTCTTACTATCTTTTTATCTACCTATTACCTCACCTGCTGAACCTAAAAGTCATAATGGTTGTTTTTGTCTAAAACTGAACTTGATTTTGTGGGGAGAGTTATCTAAGGACTGGTGTGTGAACTAAAATGAACACATTTGGTATTTACACATTTAGCAAAAGATGAAATGAATTGCGGAGCTTTTTTTCTTAAACAAGAGAACTCATAAGTAAAGGAATTTATAGAAAAAAAGAATTTAAGGAACAATCCATAAGCTTAATGCATTTAATGTTCATTGAATAGGGATGTGTAGGCTCAGTCTTGATTAAACCTTTTAACAGCGTTTCAGATGTGATATTGGGTATTTTAAGAGACGTTCTTAAATATTTTTCCCCTAGTTTTGCTTCATTTTCTGTTATAATTTTAGCTTGTGTATGTTTTTAGCAAATGCCCTTGATTCTTTATAATTGCTGCTGTTTAATTAGTCTGAATTGGAATATGTGGCTTCTTGATGACTAATTTTACATTTTGTTTTAGATATGCCTGTGACCATTGGGTTGCTGCTTTTATACTTAGTCTAAGAGTAGGTAGGAGCTTAATATTTTAGATCAGTGTTTCTTAAAATGAGGCCATTGGAAATTCTTGACAGTAGGGGGAAGGTCCTTGAGAATTTTCCCTCTTAAATGGGGACCCTTGTATCTGCCGTTCATTACCAGTGCACCCTCATACACAGCCACCACCCATGTGTCAGTAGAAGCTTGTGTGCTGCTTTGATGTTGAACAAGTTGCAGAGGAGCTTCCAGACTAAGACAAACTAGGAAGAAAGGCCTGGAGATTTTCTTCTAAAAATCAGCCAATGAAAACCCTGTGGATTACAAAGGGTTCTATTTGCAACTGATCATGAGGATGGTGCAAGACCAGGCAGCATTTTGTTCTGTTGTGCATGGGGTCACCATGAGTTGGGCTGATTCCACAGCAGCTAACAACAATATATCACTTTAGTCCAGGAAACATTACTTCAGATTTCTTATGCTTAGAGCAGAGAAAAACGGTATTTGCATGTTGAAAAATGTCATGTTTTGTTTTATCGAATCCATTGATTTTTCTCCCTTTGACGTTTTTCCCCTCTTGAATTTCCAGCCCATATTAGCTAAGAACTGCTTAGTGGAAAGAATAAATGGCCGTCTACAAAGTATAAACCTTCATTCCAAGTAACAAATGGATTCAGTCCAATTTTTTTTGTTTCGTAAAACTACCTGCAGAACCTGTGGGTGCTGTAGAGACCTAGAGGGGTGAAGCAGGGGCATGAGAAAAGGGGGAACGGGAAGTGGTAGGAAATTCAGGGGTAGTGCTTATTGTTTATGGAGGGGAGTCCCTAGGTGGTACAAACAGTTAACATGCTCGGTTGCTAATCGAAAGGTTGAAGGTTTGAATCCACCCAGAAATGGCTTGAAAGAAAGGCCTGGCAATCTACTTCCAAAAACTCAGCCACCGAAAATGCTATGGAGCACAGTTCTCCACTGATGCACATGGGGTTGCCATGAGTCAGAGTCAACTCAGTGGCAATTCATTTGGTTTTGTGTCTTTTGGTTTATGGAGGGAGAAAGAGAGAGTTAAGGAGAACTGTGCTGAGACTGCTTGGAAGCCATGGATTGCCATGTTGTCTACACTGGTATTACTTCTGGACATATCTTCATCTCAGTGGATTTTATCCTTCATTGTAACTGAGAATAGCAGACTGGGAATTAATTTCAAAAGAGGGAGAGAGGGATGCCTCTGAATGGGCCATTGTTTTAAAGAGCTGAGACAGATGTGGTAAACTTGCAATGATCCGTGCTGATGTAGGCAGGTCCTGCCCCGTCTGTAATATGGTTTCTTTTTGATTTAAGATTGCTTCATGCAGTTTTGTTTTTCTCAGAAGATGTACCTTCCCTCTCCTATGCTTCAGGTAGAGGTGGAGCAGATGCTGACTTTTGAAGGAAACTGAAAGATACTTGACCTGGCCAACGTAGTTCACCTTTTGAAATCCTCATCGTTAGAACATTGCTTAGTTTTAGGAACTTGTGTATAATAGTAATGGTTAAAATTTTACTGAATTGATGGACTGTGCCTGCATATATCATCTCTAGTCTTTACAACAACCCTGCAAGGTTTGTGCTATCCCCATTTTGTGGAAGAGAATACTGTGGGAGGCTTTGTGAGATTAAGTGACCTGGCCAAGATAGTAAAACTGGTGTGTGGTAGAGCCCAGACCAAGCCCATGAGGGCCCTTTACTGTAAAAATGCAGGCGTATTACCTGGGAAAGAGGACTATTAACCCATTGGCATCTGGTAACATCTTGCCTCAAGGACAGGACCACACTGAAAAGGGGAAACTCTAGGAAAGAACATTGGAAGTCTTGCGAAGAATATGATTAGTCATCGGGTTTATCGTCCACCAGATTAGATCCTGAATTTCTTTCTTGTTGTTGTACTTCTGTTTCACCCTGTCTAGGTTTGGAGACAAGAGTTGGAACAACAGATTGCTTATTGCCTAGGATAAAGCTAGAACCCCTTTAGCACTGTTGTAATATGTTAACAGTATTTTCAGAGTTGTACAGGTAAAGGAGTGAAAAGTGACTCTTGAGGTTGGTGGCCCTGGCAAACCATTCTAGAAACCTCTGTTCAGCTTCACCATGATCCCTATCATGCTGAATTTGGACTGGACCTGTTTCCCAACGTAATTTATAAGAATTCAGTTTCCCACTGTGGGTTTGAGGATTATCTCTGCCACTTAATAGATGTGTGATTTTTAGAAAACACATTATTGAGGACAATTTCAAATGCACATAGAAGCAGAGGAAATAGTATTTACAAACCCCTTTTGTTCTCGTCATCCAACTATGTGATGTCAACCAAAGTTTTTAATCTCTCCAAGTCTATTTCTTCTTCTTTAAAATTGGGATAATGATATCCCCGTCAAGGAACTACTATGAAAAATAAATAAATTATAATTAACATCTAACACTAATAGCTAACACTTCATGAGTGCCACACTTGACCCACTCACTACGCTATATGATTCCTGGGATGTGGAGGTTTATCCTCATTTTACAAAAGAGGAAGCTGAGACTCACGGATGTTAAATAACACACTCAAGGTCCTAAAACCAGAAAGCACCAAAAACCAGGATTTGGATCCAGGTTTTACTCCAAAGCCATAGAAAGGTCTTTGACACATGATAAAGGGCCATGCAAATTCCGCACCCCCCCACCAAGCTTTTGGCTTAGGCTTACACTATACAAATGTCCATGAATTCCTTAAAGAGAAAAATAAGTCTTAAGAGAGCCAAAAAGGCCAGCAAAGGCAGACTGGGTTGGATTTCTGAACCTGTTGCTCATCGCCCTTAGCCTTGGGGTGTACTTGGGTATTTGCTTATTTCTGTGGTTCTTGTAAGTATTTGCTAACTGGGGACATTTGTTTTGCACTGCTGCAGAAAAATAGAACTCAGTGGTTCCTCTGTGTGACCCATCTTCCTTCTCCACTTACAGCACGCTGCAGACTTGGAAAAGAAGCAGAATGAGACAGAAAACAGGAAATTGCTGGGGACTGTCATTCAGTATGGCAATGTGATCCAGGTGGGTGATGTTTGCTCTTCTCTCCTGGAGCTGAAACATCACAAGGAATGGAACTGAAAAAAAAAAAAATGTATGAAACAGGGTTTGGATACCTTCACAGTAGGACTCCATGCAGACAGCTGGCTTATTGCACGAGGACCAGTTCTTGTTACGTATGACAGAGTCTCAGGCTTTTCAGTTGGCTGTCTCTCAGTACAGGAGTCGCTTCTCCTCCCCAGCACTGATAGTTTAGTCTATGTTCAAATATTTTAAATGAGAAGCTTCCTACCTGAAAAGGAGCCTGGCTATTGCACTTTTGTTCAACTTGCATTGTTTGAAAGTTCTTCCTAGTTGGTGAAAATTGACTTCCCTGTAACTTTTCTCTGTTTGTTCAAGAACTGTTCTCCAGACTTAATAAGGGCGATTTTGTACCTTCAGATAGAATATTTGATGATAGTTCTCATGTCTTTTCTCACAGGTTGTGGGCTTTGCTTGCTTATCTCTTATGTCTTTAAATATGCATGGGGATAAAGCAAAATCTAGGAAACAGCTGCCTCAGGCTTTGCTCAGATCATTCTGGGTCTGTCCCAGACTGGGAGGAGACAGGACTTGGGGAAGCCCAGTACCAAATTTGGTCTCTCTGGATTTGCCCAGTCACCAGATTGTTTTGACCCAGATACGAAGGACAGTAGTTGTCAATTTATGAGCATCAGACTCGTTTAGTTATCTTGCTTCATTGCTTCCCTTTTTGAAAGATTTTGCTTACCGTATAAACGTTACTAATTACAAAGCAATTCCTTCCCATTTTTATTCATATTAGGTTATAGAACAATGCTAATCAGCAGCATGGGGAAACTGGAATTGGCAAATTGGTGAAAGCAACCTTTTGTGGTTAAGTGGCTCATTTATGTTAGGCCTTTGGAAATAGTGAAAATAACTCCCAAAATCCTTTTGAAGTTAGGTCATGCTGATCTCACACCCCTTCTCCCTTCAGGTTCTATCCAATTGAGAATGGACACAAGGGGCCAGATGGGTATCAGTATCAGCTTTATTAATGGGCCGGGCCAGTGCCCTGAAACTCATAGTATAAAACATCTTAGATTCGAGAATATGGCTTAAACTGAGAATGAAAGAGGGGCATAGGGGATAAGAACATAACCTCTTAAGAGAATTCCAATTCAGGTTTTGTGATTTAATAACTGTAAGATTTGGGGCAAGAAATTATGCCATGCCTCAGTTTACTTGCTGGCAAAATGGGAATGATAATGGTGTCTATTTTCTAGGATGGTTGAAAGGTGCCTGTCACAGAGTAAGCTCTCAGTGCATATTAACTAGTATAAGTCATTGTTACTTCCCCAGGCCAGGATCTTGGGATTCACCTGTAGGTAATTTTGGTTTACAAATCAGCTCTGGGTCCAGTACTTGGACAGATGCATAGCAGATCAGGCCCAGTCCCCAGATGAACACTGAGGGCTTGGAAGGACATTGTGTTCTCCATGTCTGTCACCACCAGGGGATGTCAGGGACTCATGAATCAGCCAAGGTACTCCTCTACCTCCAACAATCCCATCAGAAGACTTGTGGACCACGTAAGACTGTTCTAGGAAGCATATCTGTTAACAGTAAAAAAAGACATATTAGCCTTTGGCACTAGAGTTCCATGCTGCCTTTACCATTTCTCCAGGAATTGTACAGTCTTTCATATTCCTTTCCATCTTCTCTTGTAGCCTGTTGAGTCAGGAAGCCTTGGCCAACTCTCCCTGGTCTAGACCTGCTATCAGACAAGTTGTTCTTCATCTAGATCCCCAGTCTTTCCGTCCCCTTCGTACATGAGCATTACCCAAGAATCAAGAATAAAGTGCTTGGAAATTCCAGGTGGAAATCCATGGCAGCCATGTTTTTGCCAATGAAATGGCAGTCTTATAATGGGACTACCTTGTAAATCAAACTGTTGCTTGTGCTCCGAAGTGCCCTTCCTTCATTCTGCCTGTGTGTCAAGGATTACTTGGGCTGCAGTTCCTTAGTCCTTTACACAGAGTTAGGTCCCTCCGCACCCACAGATGGCCATGAGCTGTTCCAGGCTGTTAGTGTACATGTCCTGAGCAACATCCACCTGGTCCAAGGCTATGTTGGGGAAAAAAGAAAATATTTTCTTTTCTACTCTGCCTTCTACTTCCCTCCCTGTGCTTTTCTTTCTTTCCTAGTTATTCCCGGCCTTAGGCAGTTTGTGAGTCTCTAACTTCATAAGCAGCCCAGTGGTTGGAGGAATGTTTAATACATATTTTATGTGACTGAGAGAGCAGTGGTGGAGAATTCAGGGACTTGCTGACACTCACCTTATTCTCTTCGTGGGTTTTTAGCTCCTGCATTTGAAAAGTAATAAATACCTAACTGTGAACAAGAGGCTTCCAGCGCTGCTGGAGAAGAATGCCATGAGAGTGACGTTGGACGAGGCTGGAAATGAAGGGTCCTGGTTTTATATTCAGCCATTCTACAAGCTGCGATCCATTGGAGACAGCGTAAGTGCAAACTTCAGGCTATGCCTCCAACCATCGCTGTATATCAGAGTCAACTAGGAGGGTTTTAAAGTTGGAATCAGAGGCTTCTCCTGTGTGAAGAGATGGGAATCACTATGGAAACTAATGTTTGGGAAACAAGGAAAACTGGAGAGAAGTGTGACCTAAATACAGAAACTGTGTTGTTCCTGGGCTTCTGAACAGAAACCTGTGAACAGCCCATTACTTCCGTCACTTTACCACAAAAACATCTATCATGTAATGATGTTCCAGGGAACATCCCTGTTATTCTCGATCCATTAATGGAATAAAAATGCCTTTCTGTTTTGGAAATGACCCATTAACTCATGGTTAGTAAAGGAAGTAGAATAGAAAAGAAGTAGATATAGCAGGAAAAGAGAGTGGATCTTAGGATTATCGTCTGATTTTTTTTGTCAATAAGCATGCAGGTTCTCCAGCCTATTCCAGTCACTGCAGTTGGCCAGTCACCTGAGGGGTTAAAGCCACAGGATTCCCTTTCGTGTGACTTAGAACAATTCTGCTATTTGTTAGCTCAATTAGTAAGCCATTACATGGGCATATACTTCACAATGAATTTGTTTAAATGTTATAAGCTGTGTTTCTGACCTTGTTTAAGATTCTGAAATAGTTTATTTTTACTAAAAAGAAATATGTGCCTTAACCAGCATAAATATCTTCTCAAAATACTCAACTAGCCTTAACCTAAAACTGGCTTTTTCCATTTTTCAGTATTGTCCTTTAAGTTTATAAGCATTAGGCAGTCTAGGTATGTGTTAGTTTGGGTGCTTGTGTGTGTGTGTGTGTGTGCGTTATATACAGTATACCAGAAGCATCTAGTACCAGGCCATGCCCTCACAGTTAGTGCACCATAAATATTGATCCTTAAAAGGAAAAGTCCAGTAAAAGTCCAGTCAAACTTAGGTTTATTTATTGTAGCATATACAGCTAAATTTTCTCAAACTCCAAATGAAGTTGTATTCCTTTGAGAAAATTTGGTTGTATATGCTCCCCAAATGTTTGCACTGAAAATAGATGGGTTTTACAGAGTAGGAACCATCTTCCCCACTCCCCTTCCTTTTACACCATTAAAAAACAAAAACAAGTGACCCTTGTTCTGACTTTTCTCTTCAGCAGGTCCTTTGCTTTCCTATCCTTTAAACTAACCTGCTTAGCTATGACTTATGGGATCCACCTGTAGTTACGAAGCTAAAATGAGCTTGAATCCTTAGAAGAGTGTTTTTCAAACTTCACGTCTTGACCCATAAGTGCACCTTGAAATCGATTTAGTGGCTTGTAACTATCATTTTTAAAAAAATGAGATAGAATAGGAAGTATCAGGCTGTATTATACATAGTGCGGATAAGTTTGGGGGTTTTTTTGGTAACTTTTGTTTCAGTTTATATATCCATATGGTATGTATGTCTGTGTGTGTATGTGTATGTACTGGGTCATAATAGAAAATGTATTTCTTTATGTGAGTTGTAGTCAAAAAGTATAAAACTTATTGTTTTAGTAATATAAAGTTATGGCTTTATTCTTCCAAAGATAAAGACTTACCTCAGGCAACGTCCTGCTTCTATTCCTAAAATTCAGTTACAGCTTATTGATACAAGTGTCTTCACAGAATTTAACAAAGATAAGATTTTTTTCTTACTACTTTGAACTCGTATTGAAAACATCAACATTGATTAATGCTAATTCTGGAACCAAAAGTCACCCTTGGCCTTGTAAGCATCACCTCCCCACCTCCCACCCTATCCCCCCCCACCCCAACCCATAGACAGAACTTTGAAGACGTGCATCCTTTGATTTGCCAGCCCATGAGCCTTCTTCAGTACAAGGTCTTATGTCTTCTCCTCAGACTGTTCTGTCATCAGTCTGTAGTCCTTCTGGTCTGTTTTGTGAAAAGCTCTATTGCTCCTTCCTAGGTGGTGATAGGCGACAAGGTTGTTCTGAACCCCGTCAATGCTGGCCAGCCCCTACATGCCAGCAGCCACCAGCTGGTGGATAACCCGGGCTGCAATGAGGTAAGAAAACTCAAGTTATGGAAGTGGATGGGGTTTGCTGCAGGAGCAGGCATGCCTGGGGCCGGCATTGACTTGGAGCAGTGTGCCCAATCTGCAGGTGAGGAAACTGAGGCCCAGAATCAGGACTTCCATGTTAGGTTATGCAAGTCTGTACAATGGGTGGTGGGTGAGGGCTGATATACACCCCAGTTCTCAGTTTGCTAAGTCCTGGGTGAGTATTTTCTAACTTGTTTAGTTAGAGAGGGCCCCTTTTACCGCATTTTTCCGGTCAGAGGGATACTTTATTGTAGTTTGTCTGCCTGAACAGGGTGCCTTTTTCTAATTCCTAACAAAAGCGTGCCTCAGGCTATCAGCAGCCCTGCCAGAGTGATGTCTTGTTTGTGGAAATACATCTACGTAGCCTCTAAATCGGCAATTATAGGACACAAGGACATTAAGTTGGCTTGTGACATAAATCTTTGCCTCATGGTTAAGAACACAAGCTCTGGAGCTGGACAGATGTGGGTTTGAATCCCAACTCTACCATTTCCTAGCTCTGCAACTGTAGTTACTCAGTCTCCCTGGGCCTCAGTTTCCCTGTCTCTGAAATGGGAGTGATGGTCATACCTATTTTTTAGGATGTTGCTGAGGATTAAATGAGACAGTGAATGTTAGCACTTAGCCCAGTGCCCGGCATATACTTAGTGCACAAACTGACTGCTGCTGTTAGTGATTATCATGAACATTTTGGAATATATACACTGAAGTCGTTCTTTGCTTTTGTGATTCATCCCATTTTATGAGCATTTGTTTTCATTAGGCCTTTACTTTCTGGCTACAGAACAAGAAACTTTGAGGGAAAGGAAAATATCACTTCCAGAAGGGCAGGAAGCTTGGTTCCTTTAATCATAGTTGGAGCATACATAGTGGTTGGTGCAAATGGACCATTTTTACCAAATGCTTTTAACAGGCCTGTTTAATTTACAGGTCCTGTGGCTTTATTGGTGGCAGCCTTTAGGGTTTTTTGGCTGAAGCATGGCCTCGCTTCCTGTAATGAGGACTTTTTGGTCTGGATGACACAGTTGTTGTGAATGTGGTCACCTACGTAACTAAATAACTCTAATGTGTTTTCCAGGTCAATTCCGTCAACTGCAATACAAGCTGGAAAATAGTCCTTTTCATGAAATGGAGTGATAACAAAGATGATATATTAAAGGGGGTAAGTTTAGTACTTTATGGGCAGGTAGCACTTGGCTCTTCTTGAGGCTCAGGTTAGCTCTCTTTGTAAATTTGTTTTTCTGACTCCCTCCTTGTATTGACTTTTAGGGTGACGTGGTGAGGTTGTTCCATGCCGAGCAGGAGAAGTTTCTCACCTGTGACGAGCACAGGAAGAAGCAGCATGTCTTCCTGAGGACTACAGGCCGTCAGTCAGCCACATCTGCCACCAGTTCCAAAGCCCTGTGGGAGGTGGAGGTAAGGAAGGGGGCGGGAGAGATGGAGAGGAAAGACTCGTGCATTTATAGGAATAAATCATATCCAGGCACTTATACCCACCTTGCTCCAAAAATGTATCGAGATAACTTACAGAAACAAGTACCAACCAGTTGCCTTTGAGTTGATTCTAACTCAAGGCGACCTCATGTGTGTCAGAGTAAAACTGTGCTCCATAAGGTTTTCAGTGGCTGATTTTTCTGAAGTAGATTGCCAGACCTTTCTTTCGAGGCACATCTGGGTAGACTCAAACTTCCAACCTTTTGGTTAGCAGCTGAGAGCATTAACTGTTTGCATCACCAAGGGACTCCAGAGAAATAAGTACATCATAATATATCAGAAGGATACTGGATGATTTTTGTGGTGGAAAATGACATCTACTTTGGAAGCAAACTCGAAACTGAAATTAGAAACTACTTCTTCTGGACTGTCTTACTGTCTCTTCCTTCTATTTTTTCTTTCCCTTACTCATTTATCTATCACAGCAGTATTTACTGAGTCCCTACTCAACATGACACATGGGTGAGTCGCACATTTTCAGCCTTTAAGGAACGAATGGTCTAGTGTTATTGGTGAGGGGCGAGAAGAAAAGATAAGCACCCAGATAACTGGCATACACAGCAGGGTGGTGAAGGTGATGAGAGTCACATTCCATGTACTCTGGAGGTTTAGGTGAGGGAAGGAGAACTTCTGGTTGGGCCAGGGATTAAGGAAGACTTCCTGAAGGAGGCAGCATCTGAGCTAGTACTTGCAGGGTGATCTCTGGTTCAGAAGGAAGCGATGGATGGAGTAGGTCACTTCATGTAAGATCATGGCATGTAGGATAATGGGACTGGAAACGTGAGGTAGGCTTGGGATAAAACTCAGTAGCCCGGTTTGATGCAGAATATAAGGAGTGACACGGGAAGTAAAACAGAGCCCTGAAGGGCCATATATCCAGGGGCTTATCTTCCACCAGAGGTTTGGTGGCATAGTGGTTAAGAGCTCGGCTACTAACCAGAAGGTCAGCAGTTTGAATCCACCATCCACTCCTTGGAAACCCTATGGGGCAGTTCTACTCTGTCCTGTAGGGTCGCTATGAGTTGGAATCCAGTTGACGGCAATAGGTATTAGGTAGAGTAGTAGTGTCTTCCAGCACTATATTAGACAATATTCTGTTATGATTCATAAGGCTTTCATTGGCTAAGTTTTGGAAGTAGCTCGCCAGGTCTTTCTTCTTAGTCTTAGTCTGGAAGCTTCACTGAGACCTGTCCACTATGGGTGACCCTACTAGTATTTGAAATACCTATGGCCTAGCTTCCAGCATCATAGCCACATGCAAGCCACCACAGTACGACAAACTGATGGATAGGTAGTGGCTTTTATATTTACCTACACAGTTATCATTTTTCAGTTCTTCATTTCTTTGCATAGGTCCATGTTTGCATCTGGTATCATTTTCTTTCAGCCTAAAGAGCTTCTTTTGTCATTTCTCATACTGTAGGTCTGCCAGTGACAAATTCTCTCAGTTCTTGTTTGTCTGAAATGTCTTAATTTCACCTTCATTTTTTGAACCTGATTTTTTTTTTTTTTTTAAGAATAACTGTATTGAAATAGAAGTCACATACCATACCATTTACCCAGTTAAAGTGTGCAGTTCATTGGTTTTTAGTATATTTGTAAAGTTGTGCAATCATCAGCAGTCGACTTTAGAATATTTCATCACCACAAAAAGAAACCCCGTACCTGTTAGTAGTCACTTCCTATTTTCCCCCAAAACCTTGCCCCACCCCCCAATCCTTAGGCAACCACTAATCTACTTTCTGTCTCTATTAATTTTGCCTGTTCTGGACATTTAATATAAATGACATCATACAATATGTGGTGACTAGCTTCTTTCACTTAGCATACTGTTTTCAAGGTTCATCCATTTTGTCACATGTATCAGTACTTTCTTTTTATGGCTTAATGATATTCTGTTGTATGGATATATCATATTTTATTTATCCATTTATCAGTTGATGGATATTTGGGTTATCTCCACTTCTTGGCTATTGTGTATAATGCTGCTATGAACATTTGTGTCCAATTTTTGTGTGGACATATGTTTTAATTTTCTCAGAGTGGTATTGCTGGGTAATATGGTAACTCTGTGTTTAACCTTTTGAGGAACTGCCATATTGTTTTCCAAACCACCACTTTATGTTCCCATCAGCCGTGTTTGAGGGTTCTGATTTTTCCACGTGGCTTTCATTTTTTTAAGGATACTTTTCTTGGTTTAGAATTCTAGGTAGAGAGTTTTTCCTTCCATGCTTTAAAGATGTTGATCCATTTTCTTTCAGCTTGCTTTGTTTTTGCATGTGAATTCAATGGTTTTTCTACCTTTGTTCCCTGTATATAATATCTCCCCCCATGTCATTCCCCCCTCAACCGCTGCTTTTAAGATTTTTCTTTTTATTTCTGGTTTTTATTAATCTGATTATGATAAACCTTAATGTGTGTGTGTGTGCACCTGCACACACTTGCACCTCACAGATGTGCGTGCACACACACACACACACACATATACTTATCCTACCTGGAGTTCATTAAGTTTCTTGAATCTGTGGGTATGTATCAAAATGGGAAAGTTTTGGTCATTATTTCTCAAATATTTTTTCTGTTTCCTCCTTCCCTCAACCCACACAGACATGCTGTGTCATTTGATATTGTGTGGCAGGTCACAGAGGCTAGTTATAAGTCACATTTTCATGATTCTTTATGCTGAACATTGTGATGCTACTTTGTTGAGTGTCTGGATTCTGTTGCCTTCCTTTAAAGAATATTAAATTTGGTTTTGTCAGGCAGTGAAGTTACATGTGAATGTGTTTGATTTTTTGAAGGCTTGTTTTTAAACTTTGGTAGGTCACATGTAGCATAGCCTTTATATTAAGGCTGATTTAGTCCTACTATGAAGTATAACCCTTTTGACATCTCTACTGAATGCACCAGGTATTCAGTAGGATGTTTGCACTTTGGCTTGTCAGAATCAGAATGCCTCCCAGCCCTGTGTGAACTTACAGCTTCCCTGTAGTGTTCTTTATCTGGCCTGTGGAGTCTCACCTTACATGCATGCAGCTTGGTGTTCAGCCAAAGACACAAGGAATCCCCTATGAAGATTTCCGGAACTCTTTTTCTGTATAGCTCCATAATCTTCAGCACTCTGTCTCACAAATTCTAGCCACCTTTGTCTCTGGAAACTCTGAATTATCTCCTCAATTCAGTAGACTGGTGTCCTCCGCTGGATTCTTCCTCCCTTGCCCCTGTCCAGAGAAGGTCTCTAGGTGGAAAGCCAGAGCATTTGCAGGGCTCCCCGGTCCCTTCTCTAGAGATTGCAGTTGTGCACTGTCTGTTGTCCAGTGTCTGAACACAGTGGTTCTATATATCTTACCCAGTTTTCTAATTGTCTATGGCAGCTTCACATATTTTGTACAATTTCTAATTGTTTATAGTACCAACTTCCAGTGCCAGTTGTTCATTATGGCCAGGAGCTAAAGTTACACTTATTTTATGGTAAATTGACCCAGACTCTGCAAGTTTCAAGTTTCAGCACGTAGGCCTGTGTATGTGTTCCAGCACATGAGTTCATGTATTGATTGCTTACACTGTTTTCCATGAAATTCCTTTTTTTTTTGGTGGTGGTTTTTGTGGATGAAGTTCAGACTCTTTCAGACTCTTTAACTTCTACTTTATTATGATTAAGGTAAATAATCTGAAAATTGTTTACATTTTTTTGTCCAGTCATTTCAGGTTAACTTGTTATTGCTAGCTGCCGTTGAGTCAGCTTCTGACAGAAGGAAACATTGCCTGCTTCTGCTCCATCCCCATGATCGGTTGCCTGTGCCATCTTCATGATCGTTGGTATGCTTGAGCTCGTTGTTGTGGCCACTGTGTATTTTGAGTGCCTTCCAACCTAAAGGGCTCATCTTCCAGCAGTATGTCGGACAATATTCTGTTGTGATCCATAGGATTTTCACTGACAGATTTTCAGAAGTAGATAGCCAAGCCTTTCTTCCTAGTCTATCTCAGTCTGAAAGCTCCACTGAAACTTGTTTAGCATCATAGCAACACACAAGCCTCCACTGACAGGTGGGTGATGGCTGTGCATAAGGGGCATTGGACAGGTGAGTATCCTCCCGCTGAACCACCATTGCCTCACTAGAAGACTCTATTTCTTGGTTGGAGAAACATTATCTAACACTTCCGTATGTGTGAATTCTCACATTATATATGATATTACAAAGGGTTTGTTGGAAGATGTTGGTTTTTTTTTTCAGCTAGTGAATATCACTCCTGAACTACAACTTATATGCAACGTCACAGACTCTCAGTGTCCTTCTTGTATGTGTTGACATTTTTCTGACTCCTGTTGATCATTCTTCCTCCTGCAGGTTGTTCAGCATGACCCTTGTCGGGGTGGAGCGGGGTATTGGAACAGTCTCTTCCGTTTCAAGCATCTGGCTACAGGACATTACTTAGCAGCAGAGGTAAGTAGCAGCCCCCATTTTTTTGCTGCCAAGGCTGATGCCCTCACTTCCCTTTCTTCACTTACCTGCAGCAGTTAGAGAGCTAGAAACTCGGGGCAACACTCATCACATTGTTTTTCCTCCTCCTGCTTTTCTGTTTTCTTCTGCCTCATTTCCCTGCTTATTGAGCAAAAAGGAGTCCCTGAGTGGAGCAGGAGTCCCTGGGTCGTGCAAGTTAACACACTCGGCTGCCTACTTGGAAGGTCGGAGGTTCAAGTTCACCCAGAGGAGCCTTGGAAGAAAGGCCCTGGCCATCTACTTGAGAAAAATCAGCCATTGAAAACCCTATGGAGCACAGTTCTATTCTGACACACATGGGGTCACCATGAGTCAGAAACATCTCAGTAGTAACTGGTTTATAGAGAAAAAGAAGCAAAAATAATTAACACATTTTATTACTTGACAGGGCTTCTGATAAAGATGTGGGGAGAGAGTAAGCTAGAAAATAGCGCTCATCTGGGTTCTTAAGATTATTTTTCTGTTGCTGCTTTCCTCATAACTACCAGCCCCACTCCTAACATAAATGACCAAGAGTTGGCTGTAGTAGACACATCTTATATAAAACCAGAAGGGTTAAAATTTTATAGAGAAATCTGGTTCTTTGGAGCATTAGTGGAATAGACAGAGGCTTATCTTTTTCTTGTAGGGATGTCGAAATCAAAGAAATTAACTTTACTTTAAATGTTTGTGAATGGTTTTTGAAGTAAGGAAAGATTCAATGCTGAAGGACAGAAGAAATATACTTTTTCATTTCTGTATTAAATTAAGGAGGCTTCCTACCATGGGACAGATGTTGAGTTCTATTCTGATGTGCTGGAAGATGTACGATGCATATTCATATCAGATTCTAGTCGTACATCAAAAGACACCTCCTGTTATCTGATACTTCTCCGAACTTCTCAAGGTGATGAGTAGATGTCAGTACTGCTTTTGCAACTGACCCAAGGAATGCTGAATTTAAATGTGCTGAGCTCCCTGGGATGCTTGATACTTGTATGACCTGACAATTTTAAAATACTGAAGCCCTGAAGATCAAGAAGTCTACGTTGAAATACTAAAATGGGGCCGCAGGGAATTATGGACCCAGCTAACCAGCTGTGGGAACTGTGGGTGACGTGGTTTGCCGAAGATCAATGGTGATTGCGTTATCTGTTACATACTGGGGAGAAAGTGGTTCTTGCTGGAGGCCTAAAACTTTTCTTATTTTTTACCAAAAATAAACAGGAATATCAATGACTGGGTACTGATCTTTTTATTTATCTCAGGCTTTTCACTGTTGCTTTACTAGTCAATTCATTGTGTTCCTTCTGTCTATACTGGAGAGCCGACTGCTGGTAACTAGCAGATTGTACCGTGTGTGTTGTGCTTGTGTGACGTGTGTTGTTGTTGTGGCATGCTGGTTTTGTGAACAGAGGGAAGGGACAAGTTCTTAGCTGTTCAAAGATGTGTGCAGGCCATGAAGTCTTCTGTAAGTAAGGCCGAATCCTTGAGAAAGCCACAGATGTTTTAATTTCCTAATGATTCTTTTTCATCAGGTAGACCCTGACTTTGAGGAAGAATGCCTGGAGTTTCAGCCCTCAGTAAGTATGGGAAAGAGCCTTCTTGTCTTCGTCTGGTAGGGTGAAGCCAAATGATCTGGAATCCCGTTTAAGAAACTGCCACTGTAGTCACTGAGCGCCGGGGAAGAGGATACCTCATACTGCTTTAAAAGAAGGTCTTGTTCTGTGCCTCACTTGGGGACAGTTGCAGTCCCTGTATCCTGATTGGTGCAAGGGACTGTTGGTCATGATGTGCTTTCTGTGCTTAGTCAAGGTGTCTCCACATCTCAGCTGGAGAAGTTCTAGGTACCTCATGCAATACTCCTAGGTTGGAGACAGTGATGGCCCCTGCAGAAGAGATTGGCTTTTACAAATGATTGTCCCATTGTTGTTGACATCAATGGTGACTCACTCAGATTTTTCAAGGAGTGAGTGTGTGTGGTGGAGAATGTCATTTAGGCTGTGGAGGTATCCTTTGAGGCATAGCATAGCTGACATCTGATTAGACACCCTATTGTCTAACTGTCCAACCTTGCACACTGCAAAGTCAGAAATAGGCCTTAGTGTATAATGTCGTTTGGCATTTTAATGCAAAATGGATCTCTCTATGGAGATTGCCAAGTAATGCAGATATGCTGGTCGTTGGGGTTCAGGTGTCCACAGTTGTGGGTTAAAGAGGGCCAGTGGTGTGTTACATGGAAAGGGTGGGCATAAGTAAAGTGGTTCTCTTGTGGAGTGCTTGAGTCTGTTTTACGAATTAAAAGATAAAACACTAAACACAGATGGTATGGCCACGTGATGCTGTAAGTGGTTGATAGGGTAGGTGGCATTGGGGGTGACTTATTTTTGTCTTTCTTTTTTTAGTAAATTTTTATAAAACTTTGAAAGCACATTAGAATGGGCACAATAATGAAAAGAGTTAGGGTGGAGATAATACAACATAGAATTATCTTTGGAATGTGTTGTGAATTCTGCAGTAAAAGTTAATCTTCTAGTTAAGCTTGAGTAGAGTATTAACTTTGAGAGAAGCTCGGAGGAGTTCTAGCTGAGGGCTTCCTTCTGTTAGCACATGGACTTGCTAGGGGAACATTCCTCTCAGCCGGCTCCTTGATGGGGCACCTGAGGCTTGTGTCTCTCCTCTTCCTCCTCTTAAACCACACTTCTGGATTCCATTTGGAAAGCTTACCTTCCACAATTAATATGGCTTGGAAAACCTGACCTAGTACAACCTTCTGCCATTTTTTTAAGGAAATCTGTAAAACATCTCTGAAGAGTGTCCATGTGGTTGTGGTTATTTATTGTTTGAACACTTGGACTGGCAGGGGAATTACTTTTCACAAGACAGTTCTTGTCCTTGCACCATCTTCACCATCCTTGTTTTGAAAGATCTGCCTTTATGTGACTTGCATCCATTAGTCTTAGTGCTGCCATCTGAGGTAACACAGATAAGTCTTACTTCTGAGATTACTTTGAAGGAGAGCTGTGGCTTCCTTCAGTAAGAGCCGATGTTCGTGAACCTGGGCTCAGGGGGAGGGTAGGGAGGGGGAACTGCTCCCCTGGCCAGTTTATGCAGGAGGGAAGACTGGCATTTTTAATGAGGGAGGAAGAGCCTAGTGATCAAAAGCAGGTGGGGCAGTGTCTTAGTTATCTAGTGCTCTATAACAGAAATACCACAAGTGGATGGCTTTAACAAACAAATTTATTCTCTCATAGTCTAGGAGGCTAGAAGTCCAAATTCAGGGCACCAGCTCACGGGGAAGCCTTTCTCTCTCTGTCGGTTCTAGGAGAAGGTCCTTGTCATCAGTTTTCCCCTGGTCTAGAAGCTTCTCAGCACAGGGACCCTGGGTCCAAAGGACACACTCCCCTCCCGCTTTTTTCTTGGTGGCATGAGATCTCACTCCTCTTGGCTTGCTTCTTTCTTTTACATCTCAAAAGAGATTGGCTCAAGATACAACCTAATCCTGTAGATTGTGTCCTGCCTCATTAACATAACTGCCTCTAAACCTGGCTCATTAACATCATAGAGGTTAAGATTTATAACACATAGGATAATCATATCACACCACAAAATGGTGGACAACCACACAATACCGGGATTCATAGCCTAGCCAAGTTGACACGCATTTTTGTTGGGGGGCACAATTTAGTCCATAACCTGCAGTGAGATAGACCTGGGTTTAAACCTCCAACCCGCCACTTATAAACCATGTGGGCTTGGACAAGTTACTTTCCTTCTCTGAGCCTCAATTCCCTCATCTGTAGAAATGGGCCATGAGCTTCTTGTGAGGACAAAGTGAGATGTTGTACAACTAAAATGCCTGGCACATAGTGAACAATTAAATGGCATTTTAGTAAGTTGTTCAATATCATGATCATTTTTAGTGCCTTTGCTAGTTGATCTGGGACACACAGCAGCCCCATGAGCGGAGTTGGGGTAGGTTTTGGGGATCTTTGTTTGGCAGTTGAGGAAGCAGACATTGAGAGAGTCCTGCCTTGTTATGCGTCTTAGGGTCTCTCAGGGTTCAGTGACCTTTCTACTTTTTCACTCTCCTTCCTGCCAGGGTGGTGGATGTGGGGACAGGCTGGGGTGCAGATCAGACTGTGCTGCTCTGGCACTTGTGTGGGGTCCGCAGGCAGAGGAGGGGCACGTGGAGAAGGGTGGCGTACCCCATACGCCGGAGGCCAGCAGCGCAGACTCAGCCTCTGTGGGGACACTGTCATATTGGGAGGATTCTGCAGCTTCAGTCTCTTCTAGGCTTAGAAGCATCCACGGAAATGCTAGAGCTGGGGATGCTTGGGAGAGGAAGCCTCTCCCTCCACTCTGCACATTGGCCACGTATTTCCCTGAGCCTTGGTATCCAGTGCTCACACACTCTGCCTCAGACCTCAGTCAGTCTCCTTGTGGCCATCCTTCAAAATTCAGTAGCACCCTCCAGCCACTTGTTGGAAGCCAGAGGGGGATAAAGGGCCACCCAAGGCCCCTCTTGTTTGACGGCCTTTTGCACACATGCCTTTCCTTCCACTAGGTGGCAGATGCGGACTGTGCACTGAAGAAATTGGGGCTGCTGTTTCTCACACAGCCAACTTAATATGCAATCTGGTTTTTCTCTAGCATTTCCACAGGTCTCTGAAATATGACTGCCAGCCTACAGCTGTGCCCTGTGTCTCAAACCATAACCAGGTCAGAGTTTATTCTGAAATTGATGTGTGGAACATTTTGCAAGGGAACAGTGGTTAGGAGAGAACAAATTCTCTTCAAAGTTTTTTCGTCTGTACTGAGGTTGTAGAGGTGTTTTGGTGCTCTTTGGTTACCTGTAGCTAGGTGGTGTCAGGTTTTTTAATTCATCTATTTTCTCCTGGGAAGTAGGTGTATGATGTCTCTTAGCAATTATCGCTGTAGATTTAACACAGCTACCCATAACTAAATTAGGGTTTGGTTAGGTGGAGCTACAGGTTATTATGGAACCCATGTGTGGTACAAATGGTTAATGTACTTGACTGCTAATCAAAGGTTGGAGGTTCGAATCCACCCAAAGGTGCCTCGGACAAAAGGCCTGGCTATCTACTTCTGAAGATCAGTCACTGAAAACCAGTTCTACTCAAAGATATATGGGGTGGCCATGAAATTGACTCGAAGGCAACTGGTTTTATGTACAGGTTATTAGAGTTGGGGGCTGGGAGGAGGCAGAGCGGTTTTGGATATTGAAAGGACCATTTTGTGTTTTTTTTAACAGACTGAAGTTAGAACAGATAAAGCAGGTTATTGCCTGCACTCAGAGATAGCAGGGCCCATTGGAATTCGGTTCTCTCATGCTCTCTCCTTTGCCTGTTTGCTTTGATTTCCTTTATCTAGATTCTTTCGTTTTCCTAGTAAAGTCTTTTTCCCCTCATATTTTGGGAAGGAGGCAGTGCCTCAGATTAAGGAAAGCAAGTCAGTGACAAAGAAAATGTGGTTTTCCCAGGACATGCAGGTGGATGTCATCATCTTGCAAGGACATTAAACACTCAAAGTAATCCTACGTAGAGTCATGGGGCTGAGCGAGACCTTGTGAAGTCTACTGGACCAGGAGCTCGTCTGAGCACTCTGTTTCCATCTCCTTCAGCAGATGGGCTTTGGGGCCATTGGGAAATACTTCCCTTGAATGTGTTTTTCTTAGTTATCTAGTGCTGCTGTAACAGAAATACCACAAGTGGGTGGCCTTAACAAACAGAAATTTATTTTCTCACAGTTTAATAGGCTAGAAATCAGAATTCAAGGTGTTGGCTCTAGGGGAAGGCTTTCTTTCTCTGTTGGCTCTGGAGGAAGAGCCTTGTCTCCTTTCAACATCTGTGGGCCTGGTGTTCCTTGGGGATCTACATGTGTCTTGGCATCAGTCTTCCCCCTGGGTCTAAGAGGTTCTCAGCACAGGGACCCTGGGTCCAAAGGACACGCTCCCCTCCCAGCTCTTCTTTCTTGGTGGTAGTGAGGTCCCTCCTGTCTCTGCTTGCTTCTCTCTCCTTTTTAGCTCTTGTAAGATAAAAGCTGTGATTCAAGCAAGGGTGTGACTTGAGTGAGGGTGTGACTTGAGTCACACCCTCTTGCAAAGCTATGGCTCAAGATACACCTCACACTGATCCTGACTCATTAACGTAGAGAGGTTAGGATTTACAGCAAATTAGAAAATTGAGGATAGTTATGTCAGATCACAAAATGGAAGACAACCACACAATACTGAGAATCATGGCCTAGCCAAGTTGACACATATTTTGGGGGGACACAATTCAATCCATGACAGTGTTTTTAGTTTCTCGTGAAAGCTTTCATCATTGTTCATCAGCCTTCAGTCTCACAGGTTTACTGCGTCTAAGCCAAATCCTTAATGTCCTGGAGAGGCCATTTTTCCCAAGTTGTCATCATTGGCCCTCCGTGATTAATTGTGGACCTTTTTTTCAGGGCTAGTCTGACTTCTCAAATATTTTTCTTGGTCACACTGTGGTTGCTACTTATGAACACTTGGCATCCGTTGTTTAATTTATATATTTTCTCCCGGGAAATAGCTGTATGATGTTATCTCATAGCAATTCTTGCTGTAGATTGACACAACTACCCATAACTAAATCCACAGGATAAGTTTTCTCAAAGTGCTCCTTCTCTCCCCCAGTTACTACAGATGGATGTAGCTATACTAAATTCTTTATCACCTACAGCACTGTTTCCATGGAAACTATTATGGTGATCCCAAATTGTTCAAATATTTTTATTGCAATACAAGGCAGTAGAGCATAAATATTCTTGGCTCAGGTGGCCCACTGTTACCTTTTATGACTGCTCTAAGACTGTGGTGTGTTTCCTGCCAACTGCTGACATTCGCTGTAGTTTCTTCTGTGTTCCTGTGGACTGTGGAATGATTTTACTGAGTGAAGGGTTTGGCACACACTACCCCTGACTTGATGACTTTTCCTTCCCAGGTGGACCCTGATCAGGATGCATCTCGAAGTAGGTTGCGGAATGCCCAAGAAAAGATGGTGTACTGCCTGGTCTCCGTGCCCGAAGGGAATGACATCTCCTCTATTTTTGAGCTCGACCCCACCACACTACGTGGAGGTGATAGCCTTGTCCCAAGGTATGATTTTCAAATTGCTTATCACAAGAGTCAGGGCTGGTATATATGGCCTGTCCGGGTTTCTTCGAATCTATATCATCATTAGAGTACCTGGGTGGTACAAATGGTTAAGCACAAAGTTAACTAGCCAAAAGATTGGTGGTTCAAACTCACCTTGGAAGACAGACCTGGTGATTGGCTTCGGAAAGATCACAGCTACTGAAAGCCCTGTGCGCATATGGGGTTGCCATGAATCGGAATCGACTCAGCAGAACTAACAACAGCAACAACAAATCATCAATGCCTTTTCTTTAAGCTCTTATGAAGGATTTGGTAACAGATGTGGACTGGCTGTCCAAATGAATGGTGTCTGATTTTTTTGTGACTCACCCATTAAAAGTTCTCAATACTTGGATAAAAAGTGCTAAAACTAAAAACCTGTTGCCATCAAGTCAATTCAGACTCATAGCAACCCTATAGGACAGAGTAGAACTGCCTCATAGGGTTTCCAAGGAGTGGCTGATGGATTTGAACTGCCAACCTCTTGGTTAGCAGCCAGGTTCTTAACCACTGTGCCGCCAGTGCTAGATGTAGGTAAACAAGCAAAAGCTCAAGTAGTTTAATATTTCTAGTAACCTTTACTCCCTTCCTCCTTCCCCAAACCTGAGGAATATCCCTGGTTAATTGAATAAACAATTGAAAAGAAATTCTAGAAAATGAAATTTCTGAAATCCCCTTTGTGCATGGTAAATGTTACTAAAATTATTGCGAAGTTAGACAAGTATTCTTTGCTTACTTTATTAAATTTAACTTAGATTTATTGCCTAAGAATGCATTTCTTGGGAAATAACTGGACTATAAAGGGAACAAAAGCTCTTTGTTAACAACAAAATCAACAATAATATTATTGCTAACGGCTCACATTTACTGAGTGCTGACTATGTGCTGGACAAAGTACTAAGTCCTTTACATGTATGTAGTATATAGTTTAGTCTTCACACACACACAAACCCCCAGTGAGATAGGTGTTATTACCCGTGCCTTTTTATAAAGACACTGAAGATCAGAGAGTTTAAGTCACTTGTCACAAGTCAGCCATCTCATAGCTGAGCCCATACTTCTAAATGTTTGAGGCAGATAGGGTTATCTGGGCAATTCTTCTAACTTTTCAACACAGCTCTGGTGAGTTGCGCATGGCCCCTTCTCACTGAATATTACTTTTAGTTTCATCATTCATGTATATCATTGCCTCTGCCTGACTCTGATAGCTGTAGCTTGGGTGCTGTCAGAGTCGGAGGAGAACCTTGTCATATGCTGGATACTATTCCAGTCCCTCTCAGAGTGATAAATGTAAGGCAGTGCCCACATACAAGAGAACCTTACAGTGCAAGAAGGCTTTTCATTACCATCAGAAAAACGATTAGTGATTCTTAAGATCTGCTGAGTTGTTAACCCTTTGAGAATCTGATGAAAGCTGAACATCCTCTTCCTAGAAAATACCAAGTGTGTGCATACTCCTGGTTTGGAACCCCTGATTTAGGTTCCTTTTTTTCTTTTTTTTTTTTAATAACAGCTTTATTGAGATGTGATTCATATACCATACAATTCACGTATTTAAAGCATATAATTTGTTGGTTTTTAGAAGATTCAGATTTGTGTGGCCATTACCACAATCAATTTTAGAAAATTTTCATCACCCAAAAAGAACCACCGTACCCATTAGGAGTCACCCCTCATTTCCTTCTAACATACCCTGCCCCCAACACTAGGCAGCTACTAATGTGCTTTCTGTCTCTGTAGATTTGCCTATTCTGGATGTTTCACAAAAATGGAATCATATAATATACGGTCTTTTGTGACTGGCTTCTTACATTTAGCATAATGTATTCAAGGTTCATCCATGTTGTAGCATACATCAGTATTTTATTTCTCTTTATTGCCGAATAATATTCTAGTGTATGGATGTACCACATTTTATTTATCAGTTGGTGGACATCTGGGTTGTTTCCACCTTTTGGCTGTTATATACCATGGACTGCTAGAAGAATGAACAAATCTGTCTTGGAAAAGTACAGTTAGAATGCTTCTTAGAAGTGAGAATGGCAAGACTTCATCTCATGTACTTTGGACATGTTATCAGGGGGGACCAGTCCCGGGAGAAGGACATTATGCTTGGTAAAGTAGAGGGTCAACAAAAGAGAGGAAGACCCTCAACAAGATGGATTGACACAGTGGCTGCAATGATGGGCTAAGGCATAGCAATGATTCTGAGGATGGCACAGGACCGGGCAGTTTTTCTTTCTGTTGTACAGAGGGTTGCTCTGAGTTGGAACTGACTTGACACCACCCAACAACAACAAAGCTGCTGTGAATATTTGTGTATATTTTTTTGTGTTGACGTATGTTTTCATTCCTCTTGGGAACATACCTAGGAGTGGAAATATATCCTATACAGTAGGGTTGCTATGAGCCAGAATCGACGCGATGGCAATGGTTTGGTTTGGTTTGATAGTAACCATAGGAGCCCTGGTGGCACAGTGAGTGGTTAAGTGCTCAGCTGCTAACCTAAAGGTTGGCGGTTTGAACCCACCAGCTGCTCCTTGGGAGAAAGATGTGGCAGTCTGCTTCCATAAAGATTTACAGCCTCAGAAACCCTATGGGGCAGTTCTACTCTGTCCCATAGGGTCACTATGAGTTGGAATCAACTTGATGGCAACAGGTTTGGTTTGGTTTTATGGTAGCTATGTTTAAGCTTCTGAGAAACTGCCACGTTGTCTTCTCAAGTGACTGCACCATTTTACAGTCCCACTAATAGTGTATGAGGGTTTTAATCTCTCCACATTCTTGCCAAAATTTGTTATTATCTGTTTTTCTGGTTATAGCCATCCTAGTGGGTGTGATGTGGTATCACCTGTGGTTTTGATTTATACTTCCCATTTATATATCTTCTTCGGAGAAATGTCTATTCAGATCTTTGCCCATTCTGAAAATTGGGCTGTCTGTCTTTGCATTATTGAGTTGTAAGCGTTCTTTATATGTTCTGGATACAAGTCCCTTGTCCGATATATGATTTGCAAATATTTTCTTCCATCCTATGTATTGTCTCTTCACTTTCTTGATAGTGCCCTTTGAAGCACAAAAGTTTTTAATTGAAGTCCAATTTATCTTTTTTTTCCCCCTTTTGTTGCGTCTGCTTTTGGTGTTATATCTAAGAAACCATTGCCAAATCCAAGGTCATGAAGATTTACGCCTATGTTTTCTTCTGAGAGTTTTATAGTTTTAGCTCTTATATTTAAGTTATTGATCCACATTGAGGTTTTTTTTGTGTGTGTGTGTGGGTGTCATTTGAGGTAGGATAAATTGCTTTTTTTTTTCTGTATCTTTTTTTAAATTTTATTATATTTTTGGTGAAAGTCTACACAGCAGGACAGGTTCCCATTCAACAATTTTTACACATATTGTTCAGCGACATTGGTTACATTGTTCACAATGTGTCAGCATTCTCTTTATTTCCATTCTAGTTGTTCTATTTTCAGTAACTTAGTCTCCCTGCCCCGCTACCTTCTCATCTTTGACTTAGAGTAATTGTTGACCAATTAGTCTCATCTAGATGATTTTTTTTTTTAAAGGAGTGTAGTACTCACGGGTAATATTCATTATTTTATGAGCTAACCTGCTATTTAGCTAAAAGGTGACTTCAGGGGATAGTTTTGGTTCAACACTTAAAGAGTATATCAGAGCAACAGTCTTGGGGATTCCTCCAGTCTCAACTGATCCAGTAAGTCTGGATTTTATGATAATTTGAAGTTCTGTTCCAACTTTTTCTTCCTTTCTATCAGGATCCATCTATTGTGGCCCTGGTCAGAACATTTGGTAGTGGTAGCTGGGCACCATCTAGTTCTTCTGGTCTCAGGATAAATTGCTTTTTAAAAGTTTCCTTCTCATTGACTGCTTGCCTATTACCTAGATATGTCCAGGTCTATAGAACCCAGCTGCGTTTCAGTTTAAGTAATTTTCCATATGTTGTGCCTTCTTTTCTGGACATAATGACTTTTTCTTAAGTTCTGAGAATGCAGGGGATGGCATTTATATTGTATGCTAAATGTTTTAGTTTGTTAGGGATAGAAGAGAACAAAACAGTGTGATTTAAAATATGAGATGCCAGTTGGCCATATTCCCCAGTGGGTTGGAAATCTTCCTCATCTGGTAGGAAGAGGAAACTTAAGCTTCTAGGTTACCTGGTTGGAGGTCCCTGCTTCTATATCTCTTCCATTCATTACTGATTTCTTTATTGGCATACTTTCTCTGTGGTTAGTAGTCCACAGGTAGACAGACTCTAAACTCACGAGCAAGGGAAGCCTTGTAGTCACTCTGGAAACAGAGTCTGGTGTGGTCTACCAGTGTGCTCAGTTATGGTCTTAGGTGTGATCTTAGCTTTTTAAATTTTTAACCAATCTTCCTTGGCCACCAGTCTTAGAGCCAGAAGCAAAAGGGACCTCATATTCATTGATTCTGTGAAGTTGTAAAAAATCTTGGAAGTAGTATATTCATATCCCTCCATCTTAGAGTTGTAGTATTTTTGCTAGTATGAAGATCAGAAAGCCTGGGGGTAGATCTATGAGCATCCAGGAAATGTGATCAGTAAAGGAATTTTTGTGATAGTCACTGGTTAAAAGTACCCTTCCAAGCCAATGTGAAAGGGATAATGCCAGATTCTGGATCTATTAAACAAGATAATAAAATTGCAGTGTATGTAAATAAAAGGCATTAAATGAACATTGAGTGAGAATTCACTTCCATAGCTCTGACATAATTGTCCTGCTATGGTGGCTTTTCAGTTCAGGATTGGGAATGACACTTCAGATGAATTGATAGAATGCTCTTTGTGGCTTAATTGAAGTTTGATATAGGATGTAATCCATCAATTAAATACAAAGCTCCCAGCTTTGATTACACTTCAAAAATAAGGAAGTGAATCCAATTACTCAGAAGAAAAAGTGCAAATTTCTTTGTCAAGTATCTTGCTCCTGTTGCTTAATTTATATTCATGCTACTGAAAGTAAATATCACTGTGGTTGCCCTCTCCTGGCCTTACTTGTAATGTCCAGTCAGTTATAACGAAGGAAGGCAGAGAGGATCTACTAAAGAGATGTACCTGATTTGACCTGTTTTTTCCCCACCTTTCCCATGAACGTGGTATGCCACCGTTCTGAATTCCTCTTAACAAGACTGACCTCTCTGCTCCCCTTTCTGCTCCAGTCCCACCAGTCTTTAAAGTTCCAACTCAAGTTGTTTCTGTAACAGAAGGCTTCTGTGACACTCCTCTGAGTCTCCTTGATCTATTCCTCTGAAAGTCCTACAGTACTTCCCCGACCATCCCCCAACTTTGTGCTTTTTTATGTGCATCTCTTGTTACTTGTTTGGTATGCATTTATCTTGTCTCACTAAAACAACAACAACAAAAGACCAAACCCATTGCCCTCGAGTCAATTCCGACTCATAGCGACCCTGTTGGACAGGGTGGAACTGCCTCATAGGGTTTCTGAGGCTGTAAATCTTTATGGAGGCAGACTGCCACATCTTTCTCCCATGGAGCTGCTGGTAGGTTTGAACCACAGACCTTTCAGTTAGCAGCCAAACGCTTAACCATTGTACCACCAGGGCTGCTGATGAAGTGGTAGATTGCTTTAAATGTAAGAATTATGTCATTATTTCTACTAGTTCTTTAAAAGAAAAGCAAAATTAGAAAACATTGTAAAAACGATACACGCTCACTGTAAGAAGAAACAATAGGAACAGCGACAACAAAAATACGTTTTAAAACCTCACGAAGAACAAAGAAGCAAGTAAAAAATCACATAAAATCCAACCATTCAGAGATAACTACTGTTAACGTTTTGGTTTACATCGTTTCAGACAAGTTTATCATAAATGGGATCATAAGCTATTTTTAACCTGCTTTTTTTTGCTGAACAATGTGTTTTAGACATATTTCCAAATAAATTAGCATAGATTCTCATCATTTTAAATAACTGTGTAATATTCCATTGTATGTACTATAATTTAATTAATTAGTCCTTTATTGGGACATTAACCAAAAACAAAACAAAACAAAACCCGTTGCCATTAATTCTGACTCATAGCAACCCTGTAGGACACAGTAGAACTGCTCCATGGGGTTTCTAAGGAGTGTCTGGTGTATTCAAACTGCCGACCTTTTTGTTAGCAGCCAAGATTTTATTGAGACATTAGATTATTTAAATTTTTTCATTTTGTAGGTAATGCTTTGTTGAACATCTTTGTTCCTTATTTTGTACACGTGCTATCTTCTTTTAAGGAAAAAATGTGAAAATGGGATTGCTAGATAGAAGGATAGGTACATTATTCATGTTATACAAAGTGCCAAACTCCCTTCTAAAGTTTTACCTGTTTACACTCTTAGCAACAGTGCACAGGAGAACTCATTTCTCTAAGCTCTTGTTGACACTGGGTTTTATCAATTTGTAGAATCTCTGCAGTATGAGACTATAAAATGATATATTGCTTTAGTTTGTGTGCGTTTTTTTACTAAAGAGTCTAAATGTATACTTCCATGTTTATTGATCATTTGTATTTCTTTGTTAAATTTCAGGTTCGTGTCCTTTCCCATTTTCTATTCTGATATTCAAGTTTTTCTTATTGATTTGTGAGAGCTCTTTATATGTGTGGATTAATAATCTTTTTGTGCTGTTACTCATTTCTCTTCCCAGGTTGTTGTTATTCTTTCAACTTAATGCACGATGTTATTGTTGTTATTGTGTGGTTGTTTTTTGTGTGTGTGTATTTGCAGAAGATATAAAACTTCAAACAATGTCAAAAGATTTATCTGTCTTTTACTTTTAAATTTAGGGATTTTGTATTTTGTCACATGCTTCAAAGAATTTCCCGAACACAAGATTATTAAAATATTTACTCATATTTTCTTCCAGAAGTTTCATTTTTTGTGTTATTGATTTATATGAAAATTTTAATGATTGCATTATTATCTCTCATGATAAGTGAATGCTTCTTGTTGCTCTGTCTCATGCTGAGTTTGTACTGAGGTATTCATTCATAGAACATGATCCTATATTTAGAAATATAACAATAACATTAGAATTATTATGAATGATTATCTATCATAAGTACATCAGAATGTGATTTAGAGCAATACCATTTGCTCCTAAGTTTACATTGTCCCAGGGTAGGTAGCAGAAAACCATTTGGGTATCTTTGTCTGTTTTGATAGAATATTTTCTAGGCTAGTGAATATAGAGAAACCCTTAAAGATTCCTGCCTTAAGCTTCTTTTCCCCTCCCCTTCAGGAACTCCTATGTCCGTCTCAGACACCTATGTACCAATACCTGGGTTCACAGCACAAATATCCCCATTGACAAGGAAGAAGAAAAACCTGTGATGCTGAAAGTAAGTTAGGAACTTGGCTGCCTCCCCTGGGTCTCATGCTCACTAATGAAAGGCTCCATTGAGGACAGGCCAGGGAGTGTGGAGCTGTGCAGTTTGTTGCTTTGGCAAGCATGCAGTTATAGCCAAGTTTGAATACGATGAAAGAATTCTCTCCAAAGGACCTGCAAGGTCAAGCAAGCCTGGGGCTTTTGAAATAACCAGAACCTTTATTGTATTCCATGGCTTCTTCCCTAACTGTTGAGCAATTGTCTGGATTTATTGTCTGTCTGAAGGATGATTTTGGCTGGGGGAATGTTTTGCTTGTGCCTTGAGGTACATCAAATATCTAGTTGGTTTTTCCTGATAGTTATTATTTCTATGTTTAAAAATACATTTTTATTTTTTGAAAGTTCTCCCAAACTCTTTACTATCTCTCCCTGCAACCAATCTCTCTTTCCCCACCTTCTCCAGGCTCATAGAATACAAATACGTACACACTGGATTTTTGTTTTTAAAAAATGAAATTATACTCTCACATGACTTTTTTTTTTTTTTTTGATTTTTTGATGGTGGGGAGGATTATTGGAATTTTTTCTCTTTTAATTTGTTAAACATTTTTAGTTCTATTGAAAATTTGAAAGAATGGTACAGTGTCTACCCTTGTATTCTCCACTTAGTAATTTCATTTTGCCACATTTGCTTTCTCTATATATATTTATAAACTTTTTTTTATATTGCAAGAGTCGTCCATGCTCTTTGTCACAAACTAAAGCAGTACAGAAGTAGAAAAGCTATAAATGATAGTAGTGCCCCCTTTGCTGCCTCCGTTCCTCACAATACCACTCTCCAGAGGTAATAACAACTTGGAGTCCATCCCTCCAGATGTCTTTATATGTCTAGTTGGTTTTAACTGCAAGATAGCTCCAACCTTTTTGGACTGCCCGATGTCCTGTGAATATTGAATATGACTAAGAGAGTCCCACAAAAACCATCTTGAATTTCAGATTGGCACCTCTCCTGTGAAGGAGGATAAGGAAGCATTTGCCATAGTTCCAGTTTCTCCTGCTGAGGTTCGGGACCTAGATTTTGCCAATGATGCCAGCAAGGTGCTAGGCTCTATAGCTGGGAAGCTGGAGAAGGGCACCATCACCCAGAATGAAAGAAGGTAAGGTCTTCCTAGGCGAATTTGCAGTCATCCTCACCCCCTGTGAATCTTTAAAATCCCTTGCAGAAAGAAATAATGCCAGCTTTGAACAGCTATATGTAAGAGTAGCAGGCCTTAGCATTTATGGGTGCCTTCAGTTTGTGGTCTTCAAGAAATACCCTTGCATTCACTTTTTTTAAAGTCTCTAAAGTTGTAAAAATATGTCTCTCTCTCTCTCTATCTCTCTCTCTGTCTCTGGTACTACATTACCAAGTATCAGGAGCCAAGGTTATTCTGAGATAAAAATTGATGGCTAGTATTTTATAAAGTTGATAATCCTTTTATCGATAGTAATGTGTTGTCTATGTTTTACTCTTTTTGGTGATTGGCCTCTGTGACCAATTTTGAGGAAATTGGAAAGAGTGGGTCTGCTCTTGTTTAACTGGTTCATCAGGCCTGGAGGCTTTAAGTTGAAGTTTTCAACCTGTTGGACGTTGGACACTTCCCATCTCTAATAGCTTATTCCCGCCAAAGGTCTGTAACCAAGCTGCTGGAAGACTTGGTTTACTTTGTCACTGGTGGAGCTAACTCTGGTCAAGATGTGCTGGAAGTGGTTTTCTCCAAGCCCAACAGAGAGCGGCAAAAGCTGATGAGAGAACAGAATATTCTCAAGCAGGTCGGTGAGATGAGACAATTTGGGGAGTTGACTTTGCATGGATTCAATGGGATTGCGGCTCATATAGAGAGAATGAATGATTCTCTTCTGGAAGGCTTGTTGAACTTATCTTTAACATACTTGTTGAATAGCTACCACATGGGAATTCACCTGTTAGAAACTACAAGAAGATGTGAATTGACACCTTTATTTTTCTCAAAAACAATATAAAGTGAAATGTGTCTTTAGGGTTATTTCATATGTTTAGGAGACTTTGGGTATTTGATAAACTAAGAAGGCCTATATAGGCTCCTGTTGGGACTCCTGAAAATCACTTCAAAATCTTTCCATAAAGAATGAGTAGTGTTTTACAGAAAATACAAAGATGGTATAAATTGAAATAAACCAGTGTAAAGATAAATCAGAGGCAGGCAAATTAAAAGTCCAGGGTAGATTAAGTGCACAAAAATGCATATCATATAGTTCTCTAAAGCTGTTGGAGATTGGGCCACAAGCTTGGCTTGCAAATTCTTGGCCACCAAAGCTAAAAAGGAAAAATAATAGTTTTAAGACCCATAGCTCTCCATAAGAACTTGGAACATAAAAAGCCTTTGTCCTCTCGGTTTCTGATAGATACAGTTTAACACTCTGTCATATTACAATAACGATTTCAAATCTAAGAATAAATTATGTTTAGGTGTTCCGTGGAATGACTCCCAAATTAAACTTCTGGCTTAAGGCCCATGCTTATTTCCACAATAGCAATTCCTTGAGGGGCCAAAATAATGTGGTTCAATGGCCGGAGCCTTCATTGAGCACGTGTATCAAGCACTCCATTTATATTGTTGTTGTTAGGTGCCATTGAGGTGATTCCAACTGATAGCAACCCTATGTACAATAGAACAAAACACTGCCCAGTCCTGTGCCATTCTCACTGATTGTTGCTATGTTTGAACCCATTGTTGCAGCCACTGTGTCAATCCATCTCACTGAGGATCTTCCTCTTTTTTGCTGACCTTCCACTTTACCAAGCATAATGTCCTTCTCAGGGACTGGTCCCCCCCGATAACATGTCCAAAGTATGTGAGACAAAGTCTCGCCATCATTGCTTCTATGGAGCATCCTGGCTGTACTTCATACAAAACATATTTGTTCGTTCTTCTGGCTGTCCGTGGTATATTCAGTATTCTTTCCCAACATCATAATTCAAAGGCATCAATTATTCTTTGGTCTTCCTTATTCATTGTCCAGCTTTTGCAAGTATATGAGGCGATGAAAATACCATGACTTAGGTCAGGTACACCTTAGTCCTCAAAGTGACATCTTTGCTGTTGAACACTTTAGAGAGGTCTTTTGCAGCAGATTTGCCTGATGCAGCACATCGTTTGACTTCTTGACTGCTGCTTCCGTGGGTATTGATTTATGGATCCAAGTAAAATGAAATCCTTGACCATTCAGTCTTTTCTCTGTTTATCATGATGTTGCTTATTGGTCCAGTTGTGAGGATTTTTGTTTTCTTTATGTTGAGGTGTAATCCATACTGAAGGCTGTAGTCTTTGATCTTCATCAGAAAGTACTTCAATTCCTCTTCGATTTTAGCAAACAAGTTTTGTCTGTCATCTGCATATCACAGGTTGTTAATGAGGTTTCCTCCAATCCTGATGCTATTCTTCTTCATATAGTCTAGCTTCTTGAATTATTTGCTCTGCATACGGATTGAGTAAGTATGGTGAAAGGGTACAACCCTGACGCACAACTTTCCTGATTTTAAACCACGCAGTATCCCCTTGTTCTTTTGGAACAACTGCCTCTTGGTCTGTGTACAGGTTCTGCATGATCACAATTAAGTATTGTGGAATTCCCATTCTTCACAATGTTATCCATAATTTGTTGTGATCTACACAGTGGAATACCTGTGCATAGTCAATAAAACACAGGTAAATATATTTCTAGTATTCTCTGCTTTCAGCCAAGATCCATCTACATCAGCAATGATATCCCTCATTCCCTCTTCTGAATCTGACTTGAATTTCTGGCAATTCCCTGTCAATGTACCACTGAAATGATTTTTTAATTATCTTCAGCAAAATTTTACTTGCATGTGATATTATTACATAATTTCTGCATTCTGTTGCATAACCTTTCTTTGGAATGGTTACCAATATGCATCTCTTCCAGTTGGCTGGCCAGGTAGCTGTCCTCCAAATTTCTTGGCATAGACAAGTGAGCGCTTCCAGCATCCATTTGTTGAAACATCTCAATTAGTATTCCGTCAATCCCTGGAACCTTGTTTTTCGCCAATGCCTTCAATGGAACTTAGACTTCTTCCTTCTTTACCATCAGTTCTTGATCATATGTTACCTCCTGAAATGGTTGAACATTGACCAATTCTTTTTGGTACATTGACTTTGTATACTCCTTCCATCTTCTTTTGATGCTTCCTACATGATTCAATTTTGCCCATAGAATCCTTCATTATTGCAACTCGAAGCTTGAATTTTTTCTTCAGCTTGAGAAATGCTGAGTGTGTTCTTCCCTTTTGGTTTTCTAACTCCAGGTCTTCGCACATTTCATTATAATACTTTACTTTGCTTTCTCGAGCCACCCTTTGAAATCTTCTCTTAAGCTCTTTTATTTCATGATTTCTTCCATTCACTTTAGTTATTCTACATTCAAGAGCAAGTTTCAGAGTCTCTTCTGATATCTATTTTGGTCTTTTCTTTCTTTCCTGTCCTTTTAATGACCTTTTGCTTTCTTCATGTACGATGTCCTTGATGTCATCCCACTACTCATCTGGTCTTCGGCCATTAGTGTTTAACGCATCAAATCTATTCTTAAGATGGTCTCTAAATTCAGGTGGGATATACTCAAGGTTGTACTTTGGCTCTCATAGACTTGTTTTATTTTCTTAAGCTTCACCTTGAGCTTGCATATGAGCAACTGTTAGTCTGTTCCACAGTCAGCCCCTGGCCTTGTTCTGACTGATGATATTGAGCTGCTCTGTCATCTCTTTCCACAGACGTAGTTGATTTAGTTCCTGTGTATTTCATCCAGCGAGGTCCATCTGTATAGTCGCCATTGAGAAAAGGTATTTGCAATAAATAATTCGTTGGTCTTGCAAAATTTTGTCATACCATCTTCAGCGTCGTTTCTATCACCAAGGCCATAATTTCAAACTACTGATCCTTTGTTTCCAACTTTCACATTCCAATCACCAATAATTATCAACGCATCTTGATGGCATGTTTGATCAATTTCAGACTGCAGCAGTTGGTAAAAATCTTCAATTTCTTCATCTTTGGCCTTAGCGATTGGTGCATAAATTTGAATAATAGTCATATTAACTGTTCCTCTGTGTAGTCATATGGATATTAGCCTATCACTGACTGCATTGTACTTTAGGATCGATCTTGAAATGTTCTTTTTGACAATGAATTTGATGCCATTCCTCTTCAATTTGTTGTACCCAGCATAGGAGACCATCTGATTGTCTGATTCAAAATGGCCAATACCAGTCCATTTCAGCTCAGTAATGCCTAAGATGTTGATCTTTATGCATTCCATTTCATTTTCAATGACTTACAATTTTCCTAGACTCTTCTTATGCAATTTACAATTATTGTCTACTTTTGTCCTTTTACCACCCTTGCAAGCTCAGCATTATTCTTTCCATTTTACTGATGAGAAAACTGAACTTCACATTGACTATGATCTATACAGCTAGGAAGTAATGGAGCTGTGTGATTTCAGCCTAGAATCTGCTGGTTCCAGAGTCTATGCTCTTAATCACTACTTCTGAACACTGGACTATCAAAAGTCTGAGAACCAGCTAGGCCCAGGTGTACTGAGTCCACGAAGTACCCAGTTTCTTGTGATCCAATGTAGTTTCAGATTTTTGGCGTGTTAGGATAGAGAGAGACTTTCTAGACTGTGTCCCCCAGCCACCCTGGAAGTTGTCTTAACTTCCAGACAGAGATGAAGCCTTTAAAACACTAGGTGATTGTAGTTTTTGTTGTTTATTTTCACAAACAGATCTTCAAGTTGCTACAGGCTCCATTCACAGACTGTGGAGATGGCCCGATGCTTCGACTAGAGGAGCTTGGGGACCAGAGGCACGCTCCTTTCCGCCATATTTGCCGGCTCTGTTACAGGGTCCTGAGACACTCACAGCAGGACTACAGGAAGAACCAGGTTGGAATTAAGGATTAATAGGAAATGATTGTAGTCTCCTCCTTTTAGTTTCGTGTGGACTTTAAGTGTCCATACATGTTCATTTAAAGGATAGAGGATAGTTCAGTGTTAAGTTTGTTCTTGGAATGGAAACATTGTTTGCAACGCTGGGAGAATCTGTATTACGGAGTCCTTTAGAAGGATACCCAAGAACTCCTCTTCTGTAGCCACCTTTCCGTGAGATTTTTTGTTGTTGTTGTGAAATATAGATAACACAAAATTTGCCTATTCAGCATCTTTCACATGTACAGTTCATTGACACCACTTACATCAATCATGTTCTTTTTTTTTTTTTTAATTGTGTTTTCGGTGAAAGTGTACACAGCAAATTAAGTTCTCATTTAATAATTTCTACACAAATTGTTCAGGGATAGTGATCTTTATGCATGATATTGGTTGCATTTCAGTGATATTGGTTACATTTTTCAGTGATATTGGTTACATTTTTCACAGTGTGTTAATTCCATCTTGGATGGTTCCTTTTCAGTAATCTGGTTTCCCTGTCCCTTTACCCTTTCATCATTGCTTTAGAGTAACTGTTGACCATTTGGTCTCATATAGATGATTGCTTAAAGGTATGCAGTACTTACTGGCAACATTATTTTATGAGCCAATCTGTTATTTCGCTAAAAGGTGACCTCAGGGTGTAGTTTCAGTTCAAGGTTTGTGGAGTCGCTCAGGGTGATAGTCTTGGTGAGTCCTCTAATTTCAACTGGTCCAGTAAGTCTGTACTCTTTGAGATTCAGTTCTGTTGCAATTTTTCTCCCCTTGTATCAGGATCCATCTATGGAGGCCCTGCCTGATCAGAACGGTTGTTAGTGGTAGCTGGGTACCATCTAGTTCTCCTGGTCGTAGGGTAGATGAGGCCATAGCTCATGTAGACTAGTTTCTTCTCTGAGTCTTTGGTTTTCTTCCTTCTCTTTTGCTGTGGATGAGAAGAGACTGATAGTTGTATCTTAGCAATCATGTCCTTTTTTTGAAGTTGATATTACTTTTATAGGAAGTGTTTCTAAACCTCTGTCTTTGCCTTTATTATTGTTTATATGGTATAGTATGTGTATGATGCTAACCAAAACCATTGCCACTGAGTCGATTCTGGCTCATAGCAACCCTATAGGACAGAGTAGAACTGCCCCATAGGATTTCCAAGGCTATAAATCTTGACTGAAGCAGATTGTTACATCTTTCTCCCAAGGAGCAGGTGGTGGGTTCAAACTGCTGACCTCTCGGTTAGCAGCCGAATGCTTAACCACTGCGCCACCAGGGCCCCTTATGTATGATGCTACTGGGTCTAAATTTCATTAGCCGGATTGGCTGCCTTTGGGGACTGTGGTTGCCTTAAATTCACCTCTAGCTCATTAATGCCATAGTCAACTAGTCCCAAGGATATTTTATTTTGCCCCTCTCTTCCGTCTCTAGATAAGGATACATCAGAGCCTGTAATGTGTCCTGGACATTCTGCTGGTCCATGAGGAAATGAAACTAGTGTCTCTTACTACTGCTGGATTGGTTGTCTTTGTTTTGATGTTTATGGATCCTATGCTAGCTGACAGTAGTATATCCCTGAAGGTTGATTAATTCCCAAGCACGTGCCCCTATTGAGTATAGATCAAAGAGTGATCCATGTTCACCATGTTAATCCTGACTCATTTTCAAGATTTGGGAATTAATTAAAAAAAAAAAAATTAAAGGAAGTTTCAAGGGCCATTTGAACGTTCAGCAAGCTAATGCTCTGTCTTGGGTAGGTGAGTATCTTTGAATAGAAAAAAACAGCTATTAGTAAGAGGCTGTCTGAAGTTCACAAATATTTCCATGAACTGTGATGTCTGATCCCAAAAGGGAGGAGAAGCCGAAGGTGTATGCTTGTGTCCCCAACTCAAACCCACTGCTGTCGAATCGATTCTGACTCATAGCGAACCTGTAGGACAGAGTAGAACTGCCCAGTAGGGTTTCTAAGGAGTGGCTGGTGGATTTAAACTGCCGACCTTTTGGTTAGCAGCCAAATGCTTATCCACTGCACCACCGGGGCTCCTCCTACGTCCCATGAATGTAATTGATTAGCTTGGGTATTCTTCACTTTCTTCTGCTACCTACTGATTTTCAAAATACATTTTTACCTCAGATAAAGAAAATGAAATGGAGTAACATTGTTCCAAAATCCAGGTAGGCTTAATTGGTGTTTATTCAACAGCCCAGAGCCGTAGGGCCCAGTTAAGTCCTTTTGAATTAGTAATAAATTCTGGGCTGAAAAACAGCTTTTGACATTTTAAAAAATAAGCCACTGGATTAAAATTTATACTGTGTACTTAATAGAATACCCTTATGTAAATATGCTACAGGATATTTGATTAATGACATCTGTGTAGCAGGTTTAGTAAAATCAAGGATGGGAGGGAGTTTGCTGCTGTTGATTTAGGGTTGTGGGAAGTTGTGAGAAGATGCTTCACTATAATTTCCCTTATGGCTGGTAGTTTTCATCAAGGAGTGTAACTATTTGTTTATTTTAAACTTAACCGTAATTATCTTCTGTCCTTCTTGCTGACCTCTCCTTCCTCTCCCTAAAAGGAATATATAGCCAAGCAGTTTGGCTTCATGCAGAAACAGATTGGCTATGATGTGTTGGCAGAAGACACCATCACGGCCCTGCTCCACAATAATCGAAAACTCCTGGAAAAACACATCACTGCGGCGGAGATTGACACGTTTGTCAGTCTGGTGCGGAAGAACAGAGAGCCCAGGTGAGATGGGGTCAGGGTGGATGGGGGAAGGTGTCTATGCATTTGAAACGCAGGTCTTGGTGCCTTGTACTGGGTTTCCCTTCCTTGGAGCTGCTAGTGGCCGATTTTGACTAGACAGGTCTTGAGAGGCTCTTTGATGAGGAATAGAAGGAACATGGTATTGGGATAAAACCTAGGGTGGAATCCTAGCTCTAACATTTACCAGCTGGGTGACCTTGGCTTTTTTTCTGAGCTTTGTTTTCTCATCTGTTAAATAGGTAGTTGCGAAGATTAAATGAGAATAAATACATGTGAGGTGCCTGGCACTTAGAAGATGCTCAGTAAATGATAATTATTGTTCCCTTTTTAGCACCTTCTGATTATCAGTTAGAACTCTCCCACCTACCTTCTCAGAGATTAGACTTATCCCAGATAGAGGAGTAACTTTTGCGAACTAAGTTGTTACTTGAGTGTTTTTATTATACGTTAATGAATTCTATTTCATTCACACAGATCTCCCCTTCCCTCCCCATCCCCCTTCTTCTTCTCCTTCAAATTAGAATCCGTATCATTTCAGATGAAGTGGGAGGCAATAATTACAATGTAGGTATTATGAACAGTCACACTGGAGAGCTGATAGTGTTTTTATAAAAATTACTACTACCATCCATAAAAATAATGAACACTTCATGGAGCATTTCTCATGGACCAGGTAGTGAGCTAAGCACTTTACGTGAATTTTCTCATTTAATCCTCAGGACAACTCTCGGAGGTTATACATGATCCTTTTCTGAAGATGAGAAAGCTGAAGCACAGTGAAGTTACGTAATTTTCCCAAATAGCAGTAAATATCAGAACACAGCTAATACATATCAGACAAGTGCTCAGCTGCTAACTGAAAGGTTGGAGGTTCAAATCTACCCAGACGCGACTGGGCAGAAAGGCCCGCAGTCTACTTCTGAAAGATCACAGCCATTGAAAATCCTACGAGTGCAGCTCTACTCTGACACATATGGTGTCACCATGGGTCAGAGTTGACTCAATGGCAGCTAGTTTGGTTTTTTAATAAGTATCAGAACCAGGATGCCACGTCAGGCAGTCAAACATCAGAGCCTGGCCCCCAGCCACTCCACTGCCCTACCTGTCCACCATTCTTCTTAATGTCAACTTCTTTCTTGTCTTACTCCTTTTATTTTCTTTCTCTCCTGCCTCTGTCCCATTACTGCCATCTTTCCTCTTTTGCTGTTTCTTCTCCTGTCTGACATCTGGGTTCCTAGTGGTGGCCTCAGACACTGGCACCAAGATCTAAAACGTTCTGTCTTCTTCTTTTGCTAAAGATAGGTTGGCCCTGTCCACTTGAGAAAGAGTCAGGGTCCAAGAGCCACACCTCTGCTGTATCAAAAGACACCATTTTGTTTTGTTTCTGTTTCTTGATAGATTCTTAGATTACCTCTCTGACCTCTGTGTCTCAATGAACAAGTCGATTCCGGTGACCCAGGAACTTATATGTAAAGCTGTGCTGAATCCAACCAATGCCGACATCCTGATAGAGACCAAGTGAGTGGGGGGATAAAGTCGAGGAAGGGGTTTAGATATCTGGTTCCGTGGTACGTGTGTGATTGTGAGTAATAAAACCTAACCCCTCAGTTTTTCAGAGTCAGTCTAAAGTCAGGTTATTGGCATGGGGCCTTAGTTAGGGGATTATTAAGTTTTCTTTGGTGTGACTTCCTCTGCATAATGGTGTCACTTAGGGGGTGGTTGGGGAGTGAAGAGAGGGAAATCGTCATAGTATCCATTTAAGATTAGTGAATTGTATTTATGTGAATTGTTCCTCAATAAAGACTAATAATTTTTAAAAATTCACGTAAACTCACAGGATCATTTTACACGCACTTAATTTTAAGAGTTTAAAACTCTGTTAGTATGATTATCATTTTTATATTTTAAAGGAAATATTTCATATTCAATGTAGATGTTAAGTCATTGTAATGCAGAGCTTTTTAAATGATCACTGTTCAAAAAGTGTTTATTCATTGTTCAAAAAGTGTAATAGTAGACAGTTTGTTTTTAGTAATGGAACAGTTTTCCTGAGTTGGGCAGTGTTTAAAAAATAAATAACAAAAAACTGAATTATTCCCTAGGCTAGTGGTATTTTTTTTTTTTTTAAGCATAACTTAATTTTAGGCTTGGGCTAACGGAGGGTGTCTGAACCTTGACTCGATTGACATTTTTGGCTGAGTAATTCTGTGTTGTGGGGGGCTCTCCTGTGCATCATGGGAAGTTTAACAGCATCTCCAGCCTCTACCTGTTAGACATCAGGAGTACCGCCCCTTGCCCCCAGTTGTGACAAACAAAATGTCTCTAGACATTATATAATGTCCTCTGGGGGCCAAAATTGCCCATCAGTTGAGAACCGCTAGGCTAATATATATGAAGAAGTTACTGTTAGGCTTTTTGCAGCTCTTTCTTTTTGTTTTGTGGGAGAAACACAAAAGAAAATGGTTTTCCATGTGTCTTTATGCTGAAAATGAAGCTAGATTATAGTATATTGCTGTAGTTGATCAGAGATTAGCAAGAATCTCAAAAATAATGAATCATCCTATCCTCTTCTTATTTCCCAGGTTGGTTCTGTCTCGTTTTGAATTTGAAGGTGTTTCTACTGGAGAGAATGCTCTGGAGGCGGGAGAGGATGAGGAGGAAGTGTGGCTGTTTTGGAGGGACAGCAACAAAGAGATTCGCAGTAAGAGTGTCAGGGAACTGGCGCAGGACGCTAAAGAAGGGCAGAAGGAAGACCGAGATGTTCTCAGCTACTACAGGTGACTGGAAGTCGCGTGTTGGGCTGTGCTTGGGGTGCCCCAGAGGGTGGCGGTTTGGAATTTATTGCCTGTTTGTGCCTTACTCCATGGAACTACAAGGATCATCTGAAAAGATTTTCTAGCAAAAAGGCAGATGTGTATTGTAGGAGTAAAGCGCTTAGGAGAATTTCGTTGATACTGAGAGAGTAAATTGATATCTAGATGTGGCTTGGTCAAAGGAAGGATGAATGCTTGCATCAGCTCTGAACCGCAGGTTAACCCTAAACACCATGGCACGTATACGGGTAGTAAGTAGTTAAGAGTCAGGCTAGGAGGTCAGATTGCCAAGGTTCAAATCCTGACCTCACTACTTACTAGCTTTTTCACTTTAGTCAAGTTACATACTTCTTTACACCTCAGTTTCTTTATCTGCAAAATAGTGACAATAGTGCCAACCTCAGAACTTCTGCAGATGGAGCTAGGAAATGTGTGTCCGTGTGTGTGTGTTACATATACAAGTATCTACCCATTCCTTGGAAACCCTATGGGTCTGTTCTACTCTGTCCTATAGGTTCACTATGAGTCAAAATTGACTCAATGGCAAAGGGCTTGATTTTTTTTTTTTTTTTTGGTATCTTTCCGTAAGGAGTCTTGGTGGTTCAATAGTTAAGTGCTTGGCTGCTAACCAAAAGGTCGACGGTTCAAACTCACCAGCTGCCCCTCGGGAGAAAAGACCTGGTGATATGCTCCCATAAAGATTACAGCCTAGAAACCCTATGGGGCAGTTCTACCCTGTCCTATAGGGTCACTATGAGTCAGAATCAACTCGAAGGCACACAACAGCAACATATTTCCGTATTTCTCTCTCTCTGCGCACATATACACACATGCGTGCACGCGCATGCTCATGGGCACGCACATTTATATGTCTGTACAAACGTATGATAAAAATCATGAGTTTACACAGTATTTGCAATTCCATTCTAACACCAAAAGGTTTATTCTGGTCTTTACCCTTTCCATATTCAAAATTCCTTCTCCGACAGTGGCAAACTGGCTGCTGTTGTTCTCAGTATGTTTACCTGTTCGCTCATCCTGCTGTTTGTAATCAATCTCCACCTCCTCTGTCCCCAGTGTCTCCTTGTCTGCAGCTGTAAGGCCTGCTGGTCTTTTTGCCACAAGGGAAGGGAAGGGAAAGGAAAAGAAAGGAAGAGAACCAATAAATACTTCAAGAGAAAGAAAAGGAAAGGGAAGATGAAGAAGTGCTTCCAGTATTTTTAAACAAAATAAATACCCTTTTCTGACCTCCCATATTCTATGCTCTTCTCTTCCGTTCATGCATGTAGTGTGTATCCTTGCACACTCCACATGTTTATATTCCACTGCATTTGTTTGCATCCATCCATAAATAATGTAGTGTTTTATCTGCTTTTAATATTTTCTGTGAATGGTACCATAATGGACATAATTCTACAACTTGTCTTATTCAGGACTGTGTCTGAAATGAATCTGTGTTAATAGATGTAGCTCCATTTCTTTAACTTTAACTGCTGAGTGGTGTTCCATTAGATGAATGTACCACATTTTCACTGCTGTCTGATATTCCATAATATCAGAGAGCAAAAACTAACAGTTTAGTTTTTCCTATCAGGAAGCATCCTTGTTCAAATTTGTCTGCACAAATGTATGAGAGTTTCCATTCCATACCAGGAATGGAATTGTTAGATTGGAGGATATGCATGTTTTAAACTTTACTGAGCTATCCTAAATTGGATCTTTCACTGTATACTCCCACTGGTTATAGATGAGAATTTTTGTTTTCCCTGTGTCTTTGCTAACTTCAAATATTGTGATGCCTTTAGTTTTTTTTTTAATCTAATGAGTGTGATTAGAATCATGTTTTAATAAGTATTTCACGGATATCTAGTAAGGTTGAGAATATGTTCATGTCATGGTTATTGGTGATAAATACGGTTTTAAATTCAGAAGCTAATATTAGACGATTTGGAAGCCTATGGCTTTCTTATTATTTCATATTGCCAGTATGTTTACTCTTTAAAAGTTTGATAAGTCATCTCCCAAGAGTGGATGAGATAAAGTCCTTCAACTGGACAAGGTTGGAAGTTAACAAAAGGTCACATGTAATTATATAAGGAAGAAAGCCTGGGACATTTTGAGGAGTCTTTGACCTTTGGACATCGTGTGTATAGATGTCAAAATGTAGACTTATATAAGAGCCTAAAAATACTATAAAATTCCTAATTAGATTCAATATGGACATTATCTTTAACATTTCCTACAATGTCTTTAATGTACTATATAAAAACACAACTGAAGAAATAGACAGCAACCTTAGATCTAACCATTTTTTCCCCATTTATTTTATAAGATAACAAAGGACAAAACGAATCAAGTAGTCTGATAATTGTTCCAACACAGCTGGATAGATGTATGCCACTGTTGGTTGACAGCCCACACCCTATGGGATAACTTGAAATGTTCCTTTATCAGCTTGGCACAAAAACTGAAGTTTGGTGTACAAAAGCAATTTAGGGGGTTGACATATATGTTCAGATGGTCAGATGCCACTCCTATGATTTTGGGGCCACTGTGTAGGACTAGCCTACCGTGTGTTTCCATTCATCTTGGATGACTCCTGGGTGAGTGTGCCTGATGGAGATTTTCTTTTCTCCAGGTATCAGCTGAACCTCTTTGCCAGGATGTGTCTGGACCGCCAGTACCTGGCCATCAACGAAATATCGGGCCAGCTGGATGTGGATCTCATTCTCCGCTGCATGTCTGACGAGAACCTGCCCTATGACTTACGGGCGTCCTTCTGCCGACTCATGCTTCATATGCATGTGGACCGAGATCCCCAGGAACAAGTCACTCCCGTGAAATATGCCCGCCTCTGGTCGGAGATTCCCTCCGAGATTGCCATTGATGAGTGAGCTTTATTTCCTCTTGTTGCTAAGACCTCAGTTACTTTGTTGTTGTTGTGTTCTGTCGAGCTGATTCCGACTAATAGCGACCCTAAAGGACAGAATAGAATTGCCCCATAGGGTTTCCTAGGCTGTAATCTTTATGGGAGCAGATCACCAGTTCTTTTTTCCCACGGAGCTGCTGGTGGGTTCGAACTGCCCACCTTTCAGTTAGCAGCCAAGCACTTAATCACTGTGCCACCAGGGCTCCTTCATGTCACTTTAAAACCTCGTATTTATAATGCTCTGTGCAGCAGCAGATAAATCATATGTGGTCAGTTTAAATCTGGATATGGGCTGAGGAAAAATGAAGTTTTTTTTCTTTTTCTTTAAACTCAAAATATTTATGAGTTTCATTAAGTGGATGAAAAATATTTCTTTCCTCAAGAATGTAAAAGATAGCATAATTGTATTTTCATTTAAAAAAATTTTTTTGGTAAAAATATATGTAACATAACATTTGCCAACATAACTGTACTTTGATACCTTGTTTATCTCTTTCCTTCATTCAACAAATGTTTAAGTGTCTTTTGCATGTATGGTTCAAGGATTATGTCAGGAATCCATATATAGAAACAATCCTGCAATAGTAGGGGAAAATGGACAAAAGACAAGATAAGTGAGTAAAGTAAATATGGTGGAGGTATGTGCTAAGGAAAGGATAAAGTATGGATGGGAATAGGAAGTGTGGGAGGAGTGTTGAATTTTGAGGCTGAACAACCAGGAAAGGCCTCACTGGGAAGAACTTGAAATTGTATCTCCTCTTCTTCCTCCTTTCCTTTTAGCTATGATAGCAGTGGGACTTCCAAAGATGAAATCAAGGAGAGGTTCGCGCAGACCATGGAATTTGTGGAGGAATATTTAAGAGACGTGGTTTGCCAGAGGTTTCCTTTCTCTGATAAGGAGAAAAATAAGCTCACATTTGAGGTAAATCATGACTCTATGGCCTATGTGCTTTATCTGATATTCAGTGGTCATTTTACTATGGGGCACATAGAAAATATTTTAATATGCAGTGATTTTTGTCATGATGGTCTGGTTTTGTAATAACAAGGAATCCAGCTCAGTTTTGTTCCAGAATAGAAGACAGAACTTATATCAGCCATTTGGGCTGATAGTAGATATGCTTTTTGAAGAAATATTGTATGGTGAATTGACTCATATAAAATGATAGAACATAACATGTTCTCTGAACTTTATATTAAAAATGAGAGGAAAGAAGCAGATGTGCTTGGGATCGGTTCCATTGATTTGTCATTTGAGGAACATAGATCCTTTTTCCCTTTGAGTTAAAATGTTTGCTGTTTGAGGCTACTTTTGCGTTTTAGAGCTGTATTTCCAAGGATTTGAGTGCTTCTCTTCCTCTGCTAATATTGCATAATTATTAGGAGAGTTTTGTTATCTTGTTGGGCATAATTTGGCTTGCCAGGTATCATTTTGGGAAGCTACATAGACCAAATGATTGGGTCGATTTTTTATTAACTAGTCATCAGATCAGATCAGGAGCTTTGCAGGCTTTCATTCCTTATTTTTCCTTCTAATGAAACAAAATGAAATTTTGTCAGAAATTACAAGCAAATTATGACTTCTCTTAAAAAAAAAAAAAAAAAAAAAGAAAAGCTCTGACTTCTCTTACCTTAGGAAAGTCAAAATCAGTCATTTACAAACCAGCCAACATCAACTGGAAGTAAAGGATACAGTTTGTTTAATACCATCTTTTTTTTTAATGCAATAGGTTGTAAATTTAGCTAGGAATCTGATATACTTTGGTTTCTACAACTTCTCTGACCTTCTACGATTAACCAAGATCCTGCTGGCCATATTAGACTGTGTACATGTGACGACCATCTTCCCCATTAGCAAGATGGCTAAAGGAGAAGAGAGTAAAGGTAAGAATGACATGGAGAAGTTGAAGAGTGATGATCTAACATAACCATCCATCCGAGACATGCCCTCCCAGCCGCTCCTGTTCCTCCTACTCTTGCCATACTTTACAGTGTCGTGTCATGTCCCTTCCTTGTTCTTTTCCCAACTTTTCATAATGAACATTTTCAAACTTAAAGAAGAGCTGAAAGAATAGTACAGTGGATACCCATATACCCACAGCTAAGATTTAACCATTACGAATGTTTTTCTGTATTTTCTTTACCTCTTAAAGTCTGCTTGTATATTATATTTATGTTTGAGTGTGTGTATTTATATATTTTGCTGAACCATTTGCAAGTTACCTAACTACTTGACTGTTTATCTCTTAAAAATACATGTCTTTCATTGTTTTTGATGTGTCCTGAAGCCCTTGATATTAGTATATGATAATATAAAACCCAGGTTAGTATCTGGATATCCCATTTCCACTCTGTGAATTCCTTGTAAGTAGAAAAATCTGACATTGTATGTTTATTTTTTCCTCTGTTTTAGGGTCAGAGTAGGCACATATTAGATGTTCACGTACTGGTTGTTGTCTAACTGGTCTTCTGCAGCTAGAACAGAAAAAGTACAATCATTTCTCATTATTTGCAATAGTTATATTCTGTAAAGTCACCACAAACACTAAATTAGCAGATAGTGAACCAGTGCTCCTAGGGAAACCTAGGGTTCCTGTGAGCCTCTGGGCACATTTTCATGACCCCATCAATATGTAACCTTGTTCTGTGTGTGTTTCTCTTTAAAGACATCTCATTTAATAAATATTGTTGATTCATTAACATTGAACTCATGGCCAACAGCACTGTAATTCATGCCTGAACAAAGCTTATCTAATACACATATTTTCTCCATAAGGCACATCACAGCCTTCTCAGAAACACTTTAGTGCTACCCTTCAGGGTCATTTTAAACAGCAAAATTACCAACAAAACCCACAAAGATGCAAAAAATGTGGCGCTAAATTCTTCACAAGAAGTACACTTGTTCACAATGTGAGAGCTGAAACAAGAAGGCAGAGCATTACCTTGTTCAGCCTCAGCTGGGAACGTGCACATTACGCGACTCAAATTTTTCACCATTCTGCATATGTCTGCAAGTGACCACAAAGGTACTGCCAGTATTGATTTTGGGGCTGCAAATAAATTTTAGTGAGTAGGTGAATTCACAAATATGGAATCTGTGAATAATTAGGATTGAGTGTATATTTACTTACCTCCTATTATCTGCTAGGTCCTCTGCTAAGTCATTTTGCATACATTAATACCATTAGTCGTGTTGTTGAGCTCCTTAATTCTTATTTTGTAAACAAGGAAACTGAGCCTCAGAGGTAATATCATGTACCCAGGATCAAGCGGTTGTTGGTGGCAGTACCAGGATTTGTGGCTTGTTAACTCTTAAATTCTCTAGTTCTAGGCACAGTAACAAGCGTGTAGTAGGTGGTCAATAAAATTTGGCAGGTAAGTTAATATGCAGAAATGACCCATTGGGGAGTTCAAAGCCCACGTTCTTTTCACTCCTCCGAGAAGCCCAAAATGTTTATGAGTATTAACCTTTCCATGTTCCTAGGGTCTTGAGTGTGTATCTGAACAGGGACATGTTAAATAATTTGTCTAAAAGTGCAGCACGGTAATTCATGCCTGAACAAAGCTTATCTAATACACATATTTTCTCCATAAGGCACATCACAGCCTTCTTAGAAACACTTTAGCGCTACCCTTCGGGCTCATTTGAAACAGCAAAATTACCGACAAAACCCACAAAGATGCAAAAATAACACTCTCTGGGTGTTATTGTGACTGTGGTCTGTCCCCGGCCCTTCCTAGGCAGTAATGTGATGAGGTCCATCCATGGGGTTGGAGAGCTGATGACCCAGGTGGTGCTTCGGGGAGGAGGCTTCTTGCCCATGGCACCCATGGCTGCCGCCCCTGAAGGCAATGTGAAGCAGGCAGAGCCAGAGAAGGAAGACATCATGGTCATGGACACCAAGCTGAAGATCATTGAAATACTCCAGGTACCCATGAGCCAGAAGTAGGGAGGGGGTGCTTCACAGAGGGACCGTTCAGATCTAGTCGCTCTGCTTAGATGTATCACCAAGGTTTGGGGGGAAGAAAATAGGGTTGAATCTTAGCTCGGCCCTCATTGCCGTTTATGAACTGGCCCCTCTTAATCCCTTACTGTCATCTCCTACCCCTCCCCATCATGGTTTTGTCCCCCCAGTCATACTAAAACTTCATGTAGTTTCTGTAGCTTGTCTCTCTCTGGGAGAGGTGATGACCCTGAGATTGGATAAGGTTGTCAAGAGGACAAGATGGAGACAAGGAGAGCAGGGGAGGGAGAATATCTGTGAGAACCTCAGTCAGTGCCGGCTGGTTGTTGAGCTTTCTTTTTGGCCCTATTCATAGTTATGGGGTAAGTTACCCTGTGCTGGAATAAAGGAAGTGAAAGAAGACAGAGCCCAAGTGTTAGTAGCTAGATCAGAGGCAACAGTCAGAAATAGAAAATATGAACCAAGCTAATTCTCAGTAGTAAAAACCAGATTTTCTCTCTCAATTCTCCTGAGTTAAAAGCAACCAACTTCACCCTTCTCAGTGGTAGGCATTCAGTAGTTGCTGAAATAGTTTTTATAGGAGATGGGGAGGGGAGGGTTGTGGTGAGTAATTTAGTGCTCCAATTGTTAAATTAATTGCCTCGATGCCGAAGGTTACTTAAGACGCTAAGGTGCTATGGGCAGGCTTGATAGGCCCCATGGAAGTCTGCTGTTGTTAAAGTGATTGTTGAAATCTAAGCCAAACTTTTGGCTCACTTAGTGCTTAAGGTAATTGATGTTGCTGATACCAGGCCCAGCCAGAGTGTGGTGGCTTGGCAAAGTGCTAAAGGTGGTATGTTAATGTAACCAATCTGTTTCCATTTCCACTTGAATCTTTAGTTTATTTTGAATGTGAGGTTGGATTATAGGATCTCCTGCCTCCTGTGTATATTTAAGCGGGAGTTTGATGAAAGCAATTCCCAGACCTCAGAAACATCCTCTGGAAGCAGCAGCCAAGAGGGGCCAAGTAATGTACCAGGTTAGTGATTCCAGAAAGGGATTTCAGCCCTAGGAGAGGATCTGGGTCTAATGAAAACTGGGAATCCAAACAGTGTCTTTTAGAAATGTGCTTCTAGAAACAGGGGATAATGTGTGAAGGGGTATGAGGGGCATTGTATTTTAAAACAAGATATTGGGAGTTATCCTTTTGGGATAGGGGAATAATGGAAAGAGCCCAGATTCCTTCTTGGGTAAATCTTGTTTCTTTCCATCTTGGAGTGCCTTCATCATAAAACAACTGAGGTTTCTAGTGTTGTAGTTATTTCAGAAGTGCTAAAAAAAACTTGGCAAGAAACATTTTGGTCCACTAAAAACTTTTACTTGTAATAGAAGTTTCTCACTGCTCAGGAAATAGTGGTGAAGGGTAAGAAATAATCACACCCATCAGGCCCTAACCTTCCTTGGAATGAGACTATGGTTTAGCCAGAGACCATGCAGTGAGTAGAAAAATGACAGAAATGTGGGACACTGCAAACCAGAGCCATTGAATAGTCTGACCTAGTTGACCTGGCTTCATAGCTTTGCAATACATAATTCTGGAAGATCTGCGGTTACCCATGGGCAGGGGCAGTGCTGTTTTGGGGTGAGTTCATCAGCACCATATTTTCAGACCTTCCTGCATCTGAAGTTGTGTTCTTTTAACTTTTAGGTGCTCTCGACTTTGAACACATTGAAGAGCAAGCAGAAGGCATCTTTGGAGGAAGGAAAGTAGATTTTCAGTTACTGTTCTCTAGGTGGTTCTAGGATTTAGAAGACTGCTCTTGCATAGTTCTCAATGGTTTTCCTTCCGTATGCTAATAATGATATAGTCTTTGGGCTAAGTCTTTGTTTTAGTGCTTCTTGGAACTCTTGAATACTCAAGTCACTGCTATCTGGTTGGCTTGATTCTTTGTGTGTGTGTGTTTTCCTAGGACAGAAAGGGTTTAATGAGGTTTCCCAGGATAACTACATTACAAGAGTTTAAAATGATGAAGAAATAAGGGCAAAGAAAGAATGCAGGGTTGAGGCTCAAAACAGAGTGAAGTTAGTAAGATCATGTACTTTTGCTGATAATAGGCTACAGTTTTATCCCTGAACTCTTTAGAAGCTCTTTGTACAAACACAATCTGTTCTTTCCTTGTTCCTAACATTAGAATAATGTATGAACCCTGTTTTAAAAAGATTAGATTGTTCAATGTTGACTTAAAATATTCTTGTTATGAGACCTAAATACCTACACGCATAAGACTTGGTATGTTGTCTGTTGCCGTCGAGTTGATCCCAATTCATAGCAACCCTATAGGACAGAGTAGAACAGCCTCATAGGGTTTCCAAGGAGCAGCTGGTGGATTTGAACTGCTGACCTTTTGATTAGCAGCAGTCATAGTTCTTAACCACTGTGCCACCAGAGCTCCAGACTTGGTATAAACACTCTATAAACATAGCTCCTACAATTTACATACTTGGTTTGGTTATCTATTGCTGCATAACAAACTACTCCAAAAATGTAATAGATTGAAACTACAACCATGTTGGTATCTCTCACAGTTCTGTAAGTTGACTGGGCTAAAATGACTGGTTCTTCTGCTAGTCTCTATGGGGTCTCTCCTGCGACAGCAGTGAGAGGGTGACTGGGGTTGGCCCATCCAAGTTAACTTTGCTCACATTTTTGGCACCTTGGCGGGGATGTCTGTAATGTTGGGAGCTTTCTTTCTCTCTCTCCACTTGGGTAACTTGGGATTCTTTACAACATGGCAGCTGGCTCCAACAGCAAACATTTTAATAGGATAAGCCAACAATATGCAAGTGCTAACCAATCCTTTGCTTGCATTGTGTTTGCTACGTCCTATTGGTCAGAGAAAATCGCATGACCAAGCCCAGTGTCAATGTGGGAGGGACTACAGAAGGGTGTGACTAAGTTGAGGGCCTAGTTCGTTCAGGGCCACCAGCGTTAACAGTCTGTCTCAACACTAAATGTAAAACCTGTAACATTGGAATTAGCACCGTTATTCACTATGGTGGAAGATGCTTTTCTAAAACTTACATGGGGTGTTTTGAGTTCAGCATGAGGATGCTTCCATGTGATGTGTGATGACACAGCTCTGCCGCCATTTTCCTCACACTCAACAACAGGGAAACCTCCTTCACATAGTACACTGTGCTCCCTTTTGGAAGCATGAATACAGTATTTACGTGATGTGTGCTCTCAGTGCTTGTTAGTCTTCAGCCACTAAGGTCTTCCCACATGACGTTCATTTCATTGTAAACATAGTGCAGACAGTGATACAATAATTGGGGGGCAGTACTCAGTGATGGGGTGGTCTTCCATTTGATCCAGGATATACTTATTAACTTTTTAATTGTATAAATAAGACAAAGTTACCATAGCTATAGAGCTGCTGTTGTCATCAGCTGCTGCTGAAACCTGTTCAGCATCATAGCAACACGCAAACCTCCAGATGGGTGGTGGCTGCACGTGAGGTGCATTAGCCAGGCATCAGACCTGAGCCTCCTTCATGGAATGTGAAAATGCTGCCACTGAGCTAGTCCTGATAGTATGCTCATTAACCCCATTTTGAAGAAAGCTTGAGTTATAATGGTTTATGGCAGTGCTCCTCAAAGTGGGGTCCACGAGACTGAGCTGTGTGTTAGCAATTTGTGACAGGTAAGTACAGAACATAAGAGTAAGCATCCAGATACTTCCATGACAATTTGACATTGCCCTGACATCAAATGGATGATCAATGGGCTCCTACCATTGAAAAAGATATAGACCAAGAGTATCAGTCAGCTGCAGATTGAAAATAAAGAAAACTGGTCCTTCACCATGCGGTGTCTGATAAACATTAGATTACAGCATCCTAAATAAAAATAGAAGTCCCTGGGTGGTGCAAATGGTTAACACACTCAGCTGCTAACCAAGAGGTTGGCGATTTGGGTCCACCCAGAGGTGCCTTGGAAGAATGGCCTGGTGATCTACTTAAAAAACATCAGTCATTGAAAACCCCGGGGAGCACAGTTCTACTGTGACGCCCATGGAGTCGCTGTAAGTGTAAGTCAACTCAATGGCAACAGGTTGATAAAAATAAATTCATAATTAATTAATTAATTATTAATAAATAATAAATTAATATCTAATAAATAATAATTAGATAAACTGATAACTCAGTAGAAACACGATTGTTTGCAGTTGTTAGACTACAGATGAAGCCTAGCAGATTGGGAGCCCATTATCCAAGTTGCAGAGCAAATCCTGTCGCTGTGGGAGGTTAGGGACTTTGGTTTAAAATTTGACAATTGTGACATCTTAACTGTCCCTGCACTTCACAATATGGTTGAAGATAAAGCCAGACTGTCTTGTTAAAGAAGCTAATTAAAAGTCAAGTCCCATGAGGTAGAAGACAGTGTTACAAATCTAACTGGCTTAGGTGTGTCTGGGCCCAAGGTCCCTGAGAGAAGGGCTTGTGTGGTTCATTTGGCCTTCCTCCCCCTACATTCTTCTAGTGAGGAGAACACCCCCTTGGACTTGGACGATCACGGCGGCAGGACCTTCCTCCGAGTCTTGCTGCATTTGACGATGCACGACTACCCGCCCCTGGTGTCAGGGGCCCTGCAGCTGCTCTTCCGGCACTTCAGCCAGAGGCAGGAGGTGCTCCAGGCTTTCAAGCAGGTAGCTCGAGTTGTCCCTGTGTGTGTTGTCTGTCAGAGAAGCTGCCATATGCAACTAATGGATTGCATTCGTTAAGGTTCAACTGCTTGTTACCAGCCAAGATGTGGACAATTACAAACAGATCAAACAAGACCTGGATCAGCTGAGGTCCATTGTGGAAAAGTCAGAGCTCTGGGTGTACAAAGGGCAGGGCCCTGACGAGGTGATGAATGGCGCATCTGGTGGAAACGAACATAAGAAAACAGAGGTGAGTGATGTACACATTAGGCTGCAGCATAGCTGCGGTGCCTCAGAACAAGTCACTGCAGACATAAATGCAGATTACAGGCTGGGCTTTATTCCTGAGAGAGCTTCTTGTTTAATAGCCAGAGTAGCAGCTGGTCTCCTAGGAAATGAGCTGTAAAACTGAAGTTTAGCTCTGTCTCCCATCCCACCTATCATGTGTAATAGACTTAGTGAGAGTAAATCAGCACCAGGTTTTCCTTAGAGAGGAGTCTTGGTGGTGTAGTGGTTAAGCGCATGACTGCTAACCGAAATGTTGGCAGTGTGAACCTACCAGTGGCTCCTGAGGAGAAAGATGTGGCAGTCTGTTTCTGTAAAGATTACAGCCTTGGAAACCTAATGGGCCCGTTCTACCCTGTTCTATAGGGTCACTACGAGTTGGAATTGACATGACAGCAGAGACCCACTTGGGAAAAGCCTGTTCTTGAGCCCTGGCCTGACCCATCGTCTGCTCCCATGTCTGTGAAATGCTGTCAGTCAAAACAGAGTTGAGGGTGAACAAAATGACCTGGGCGTAAATCCAGTATGACTGTTGGAAAACAGTGCAAAACTCGTGTTTTTTTGGTTTTTGTTTGTTTTTTGTTTTATAAAGGGTGGTGCTAACCCTAACAAATGCACAGTAGCCCAAGAGTTATACAAAATACAGTTATGTTTATTTTGGTTCCTAGCAGGGGAATAACAAGTCTCAAAAGCATGAAAGTACGAGCAGCTACAACTACCGGGTGGTAAAAGAGGTAAACCCCCCTCCACTGTCTTTTTCCATCTTAAATAATTCTCTAAGGAGCTGTCGTTTGTGAGAGTAAAGTTAAAAGTACAACTGTTTTTCCCTTACCTCCCTCCTTCCCTTCCTTCCTCTCTCTTTCTCTCCCTCCTTCCCTTCCTCCATCTACTCCCTCTACCGCCCTCCCCTTCTCCCTCCCTCCTTTCCTACTTCCTACCATTGAGTTCAACAGGAGAAAATAGAGCTCAGAGGTTACGAGCATGGGTTTTAGCACCAGATCTGGGTTTTGAGTCCCAGCTCCGCCACTTATTATTTCTGTGTCCTCCATTTCCTCACCTATAAAGTGCAACCAACACTGCATACTTTGGAAGGTTTCTAAGTTGAAATGAAGGATTAAGTGATACAGTTGTAAAGGATTTATCTCAGTGCCTGGCACATAGTGTCCATCAATGAGAACTGTAATTCTTTAGAAATCTTTGCATTGGGTGGTTCAAAGTTGGGAGATTGGTAGCTTTGTTTGTGTGTGTGTGTGTGTGTGTGTCCTTTTTTTTTTTACTCCAGAACAAACTCTTCCCAAGTTGTTGACAGTAATGCCACACTATTACTATTTAAGCTGTCTGTCTGAGACTATCCCACTTACTGTTGAAACCACATCACTGCTTATTCTTGCTCTTACGTAGATACAGTTTGATGCAGTCATCAGGGACACTATATATTGGGAGAACGTTCTTTTTAAGATTTTATGTGTATAGCAGTCTTCTTGGCCTCCTTGCCCTCTACCACCCCCTGAAATCTTTTTTACTAGTTTTCTGAGGCTAATTTCTTTCTTTCAACCAGATTTTGATTCGACTTAGCAAACTCTGTGTCCAAGAGAGTGCCTCGGTCAGAAAGAGCAGGAAGCAGCAGCAGCGGCTGCTCCGAAACATGGGCGCCCACGCTGTGGTGCTGGAGCTGCTGCAGATCCCGTACGAGAAGGTGAGGGGCCAGCCCACTGCAGCTGCTCCAAGTGCTGGGCTGAGCCCTGGCTCCCCAAACCCTCCATGTGTGGGTATTGTTGGTGAAGAAATGAACCTGATGAGACTACTGTGCCTGCAGAGCAACCTCAGATTATTATTGTTGCTATTATTATTATTTTGTCATAAGAAATGGAGTTATTTATTAGGGTCAAAACGTCTTAAGCCAGCAATGTCAGGTATTTTTGCAGACAAATTGTGTCGCAGTCTGCCCCCCACTTTTTTTTTCATTGTGATAAGTAAATAGGTAACAGGGCGTATGTATAGCTCATTGACATTAATTACATTCATCCTGCTGTTCAGCCATCACCATTAACTGTTCCCCAATTTTTCCATCACCCTTAATGGAAGCTCAGTGTCCCCTAAGCATCTGTCTTCCTTTCTCCCTCAGATTATTTTATATGAAACAAAAAGTATATTATAAAAATAAAGTGCAAATCACCCATAAACAACCTTGTTCCCATTTTGAGATTAGGTCAAGTAAGAAGAGTCCATTTATTCTCCCCTCACTCCCAAGCCATATTCAGTAGAGGCAGCTTGGTCTGTATCTAAAGTTTTAATCGACAGAGCTATGTTTGCACCTGGGCTGGTGCCATACAGTTTCATCTGCAACATTATTCAGTCAATTTAAACACTACCACCAACCAGTTGCTTTTGAGTCAACTCCTGACTCATGGCGGCCCCACGTATGTCAGAGTAGAACCGTGTACTACAGGATTTTCAGTGGCTGATTTTTTGGAAGTAGATTGTCAAGACTATCTTCTGAGGTGCCTCTGGGTGGACTCGAACTGCCAGCCTTTCAGTTAGCAGCTGAGTGAGTGCATTAGCCATTTGCAGTACTCTGGGACGAGTTGTTAAATGTGTGTAGGAACTTGGTACTTACTTGCCCACTTGTGAGATCCTTGCTAGTATGCTGACATCTAGTTAAGTACTTGGATCTGTGAGGTGATCCTTTGTTCTAAGTATTTTATGTTCATAGATGTTGTCCTTTGTATCCTGTTTTTCATGTTCACATTTGTTGGTGGAGGTGGATTTTAGGGACGCAGAATAAACAATGCTCTACATCTGTGTGACTTGACAAGACGTGTGCCAAGGTACTCATTCACTCCTCACAAAACCCAGTGAGGCAGTGGTGATGTTCCCATTTGATAGATGAGGAGGCCTGGAGAGGCTTCGAGTCCAAGGCCTTCAACTTAGGTCTCAAGTTCAGAAGTGACTGCCAGTGAGGCCAACTTGTTAGTGAAAAGTCACCTGAAGAAGACCTTCTATCTAGTGAACATTTGAACACTTGCAAGGTAGCAGGCACTTTGCTGAATCCTTTATAACAATTAACATGTTAAGGAGCTCTGGTGGTGCAATGATTAAGTGCTCATCTGCTAACTGAAAGGTTGGGGGTATGAACCCACCAGCTGCTCCATGGGAAGAAGACTTGTCAATCTGATCCCATAAAGATTACAGCCTAGGGAACAATGTGAGGCAGTTCTACTCTAACACATGGAGTCGCTATGATTCGGAATCAACTTGATAGCACACAACAGTTGGCTCATTTAATCCTCAAAACATTCATATAAGATGGGCGGTGCTATTGGTTTTCCCTCTTTTTTAGTAGTATCCGTATTGCCTTTTTTTAATTGTAAATATATATGTAACGAATCATTTGCCTTTTCAACATTCTTCACATATATAATTCAGTGACATGAGTTATGTTCATCATGTTGTCCAACCATTACCATTATCTGTGTCCAAATTTTCCCACTACCCTTAACAGAAGCTCAGTGGAACACTGAGCTTCTGTATTGCCTTTTTCCTGAAAAAAATATTTTTGTTTCTGCCCAAGAGAGAATTCATTCTTATTGATGAGGCATGAACAAGTTATTTGGTTCTTTTCCGGGTTAGCGGTGCAGCTCCTTAGTATTGTACACCTGGCAGGCCCTCAGTCAACACCTCCTGGATTCCACATTTGGTCTGAAGTGATGGAGGCGTAATAGGACCTGGCCTCCTGGCCAGGAAATCAGTGCTTTTCTCTACCATACAACCCTGTTTTCAACTCATTTCTCATCTGTTTCCTTCCACGCAGGCTGAAGACACCAAGATGCAGGAGATAATGAGGCTGGCTCATGAATTCTTGCAGAATTTCTGCGCAGGCAACCAGCAGAATCAAGCTCTGCTACACAAACACATAAACCTGTTTCTCAACCCAGGGGTAAGTCTCTGGGCTTGTCTGGAATCTGTGGGAAGAGGAGGGCTGAAAGAGCAAACAGAAACAACTTGTTCTTCTGCCTTTAGTTGTGGCTTCTGGGACTTGTTATAATCCAACATTCATTCCAAAGGGGAACATTTTGATCAACTCTCAGGAAGGCAAAAATACTCCCCATTTTTTGTGGGATAGGAGGCAAGCGGAGGGGGGAGTAAAAGGTGGTAGGGGCAAGGTAAGATATATTTATTTTTTTTCCTAATAAAATTACTTATTGTATCAAACCTAAACAATACAAAAGTGCTAGGGCTCACTCTCCAGCTACATCCTTCCAGGGCATCCTCATAAACAGTATATTCTTGCATACATTTGGCTGTTTATACAAATATATAATATAGTCATATAAAACATATCTATATTGTATTTTTATTTTATATGATATATTTAAAAATATATTAAATAGATATTGTACATTTTTAAAAGAAAAACAGTAGTATACTCTACACGTTATTTAGCTTTTTTTTTTTCCACTTGAATGCATTGTGGTTGCCTTTGCAAGTCAGATATAGATAGATTTCTCTCTCTCTCTCTTTTTTTCTTTTTTTTTTTTGATGGCTTCATGGCATTACATAGAATGGCTACAACTTGGTGTTTTGTTTTTACTATTGTATTAATGGACAATTGTGCAAGATCTAGTTTTTGGCTTTGTAGACAGTACTGCAAAGGACTTCCTTGTACATGTACATTTGTGCAGATAACTCACTTACTAGTAGGCTAGAGACTTCTAGAAAAAGGATTGCCGGGTGGTAGGTGTTAAAAATAATCAAAACTCAGTGGAAATTGAACGTAAGGTTTATTCTGAGCAATTATTTTATATTCGTATAGGGAGACCATTTTGATTCCAGAAAAAGCAAATGGCTTGAAGAAGCTAGATACAAGTAGGCTTATTAAGAGAAGAGGAGGGAGAAATATGGAAGATCAACCACTGGCTAATCTTAACATGATTTATTGAACCCTGCCCTCCCACTTTTACTGAGATCAATGGATATCAGATCACAAAATTTTCAGATTCAAATTTGGTAAATCTACTCCGCTTTGAACAGGAAAGAAAGGGTTTGCAACTTTGGGTGAAAGAAAAGCTGCTGGCAGACTAATTTTTGTCAGGAATTTCTTTAAAGTGAATATTTGGTTTCATGGGTAAGAAAACCCCAAAATCAGAGCAAGATATCTGCTATCAGTTTTACTCTTTGACATAGGGTAACATTCCCTTTTTGTCATGAAAAGAGAAAGAAAAAGTAAAAGATAAAAAGGTTAAAGTCCTCTTCCTCACGCCAAACATAAAACTCAATAACTCTGGGTAGAAAGTAAAAAATAAATCTTCTAGAAGATAATATGAGAATATCTTTATGACCTTGAGGTAAGCAAAGTTTTCTTAAACAGCATGGAAAAATTCCTAAAGGAAAATAGTGATAAACTGAACTTCTTCAAAATTAAGAACTTCATCAAATGATATGATTAAGAACATCCAAAAGTAAGCCAGAGAGTGAGAGAAGACATTTGCAGTGCATATGTTTAACAAAGAACTCACATCCAGAATGTATAACAAACTCAAAGAAGTCAACAAGGAAAAAGACAGACAACCCACTTTTTAAAATTGGCAAAAACTTGAACCAACACTTCATCGTACAGCATATCCAAATGGCCAATATCTTAGTTATCTAGTGCTGCTATAACAGAAATATCACAAGTGGATGGCTTTAACAAACAGAAATTTATTCTCTCACAGTCTAATTGGGTAGAAATCCGAATTCAGGGCACCAGCTCCCAGGGAAGGTTTTCTGTCTCTCTGTTGGTTCTGGGGAAAGGTCCTTGTCATCAATCTTCCCTGGTCTCGGAGCTTCTCAGCACAGGGACCCTGGGTCCAAAGGACACGCTCCACTCCTGGAGCTTCTTTCTTGATAGTATGAGGTCCCTTTCCTCTCTGCCTGCTTCTGTCTTTTATATCTCAAAAGAGATTGACTCAAGATACAGTCTAATCCTGTAGATTGAGTCCTGCCTCATTAACATAACTGCCTCTAATCCTGCCTCATTAACATCATAGAAGTTAGGATTTACAACACATAGGATAATCACATCAGATCATAAAATGGAAGACAGTCACACAATACTGGGAGTCCTGGCCTAGCCAAGTTGTCACACATTTTTGGGGGATACAATTCAATCTATAGCAGCCAATAAATATGACATTAGTCATCTGTCAAATGCAAATTAAAGCCACAATAACATATGACTAAAATTAAAAAGATGGACAGTACCAAGTATTGACAAGGATATGGAATAGCTGTAATGTAGAATGTAAATTATTAACATCTTTCAAAAGCTTTTTGGCAGTCTTCTAAAACCAAACATATTCATACCTTGCAACCCAGCAATTCCACAGAAGTGTATGCATTAAGTTTACCAGAAGACATGTACACAAGTGTTCAGAGTAGCACAGTTTGGAATATGTGTAATACATATAGTGTCACTAATCATTAAAACTGGATACTACCACCAGATGCCCAGCAACAATAGAATAGATAAATCCATTTTGGTATATTCATGCAATGGACTATATATGTATACATATCTAGCAGTGACAATGAACCAACATACGTGGTACAACATGGATGAATCTCACAAATGTAATGTTGAACAAAAGAAGCCAAATAGAAACGCATGCATGAGGTTCAAGTAAAGGCAAAACTCAAGTATGGTCATAGAAGTCAAAATAGCAGTTAAATTGGGAGGGGAGAGTGGTCATAAAGGAGGCCAGTTGTATTTCTTGGCCTGGGTGCTGGTGTTCCTTTCATAATCCATTTAGCTGCATGCTACTGATTGGTTTACTTTTCTGTACGTTTGTTATATGTCATTAAATAAGTCTGCCAAAAAAGAAGGTAGTACAGAAGTATGAATGGGCTTAAATGCTTCTCTCTCTGTCTTTTAGTGGACTCTTCTTTTTCTCACTTTGTCATCTGCTGTGGCCTTCTCTTGACCATTTCCCTGTGCTCTTGTCCTCACTTTTGTGCCAGATCCTGGAGGCGGTAACGATGCAGCACATTTTCATGAACAATTTCCAGCTTTGCAGTGAGATCAACGAGAGAGTCGTTCAACACTTCGTTCACTGCATTGAGACCCATGGTCGAAACGTCCAATACATCAAGTTCTTGCAGACTATTGTCAAGGCAGAAGGGAAATTCATTAAAAAGTGCCAAGACATGGTCATGGCTGAGGTGACAACTATATATCTCTAAGTATCTTCATCTGATGATCCATAGAAATTTTCAAATAAATTAATCTTAACCTTATGAACTGCAACCCTCTCCAAAAACCACTTGAAGGGGCAGAAAGTAATTGTGTGTGAGAGAGAGGGTGTGTGTGAGTGTGCATGATCTCATGTTTGTGAACTTAGACCTTAGATATAGGCAAGAGTCTGAACTGATTTTTTATAGCCATACATCTGTTTATTTTAAGGAAGTTTGATTTGGAGTCTTCTAAGTGGGGAAAGGAAACCCTGGTGGCGTACTGGTTAAGTGCTACGGCTGCTAACCAAAAAGTCGGCGGTTCTAATCTACCAGACGCTCCTTGGAAACACTATGGGGCAGTTCTACTCTGTCCTAAAGGGTCGCTGTGAGTCAGAATCGACTCGACAGCAGTGGGTTTGTTTGTTTGTTTTTAAGCGGGGAAAAGAGAACAAGAATAGTGAACCAAAATGGAGGGAAGGGAGATAAAATGTGGATAGAAACCAGTGAGCCAGAATAGCTTCCCTTTTTGTGGATTATATGACTTTTTCCTTAATTATTCACCTAATTAATTAGGTAGAATTGTTGCTTGATCATTCATGAGGAGAAACTGGTCAGTGGAATAATGGGAAAGTCTCCTTGGTTCTTTAGGGAAAGTCGCACCTCATTGGTGTCGTCTCTGACCAGGAAGGCCCACGCAGCCACACACATGACTTTGACTTCTGTATATCCTCCGTTTGATCCTTCCAACTTTTTATATAATGAAGTATTGAGTAAATCCACCTAACAGTTGGTTTTATAAGCCTGCCTACATATACATAATTCTAGTAAAAGATTAAAAAAAAGTTACTGCCAAGGTGACTCCAACTCATGGTGACCCCATGTGTGACAGAATAGAACTGTGCTCCACAGGTTCTTCAATGGTCGATTTTTTGGAGGTAGATTATAAGGCCTTTTTTCCAAAGTGCCTCTGGGTAGACTTGCATCTCTAGCCTTTTGGTTAGCAGTCAAGCATGTTAACCGTTAGTACCACCCAGGGACTCATAGTGCAAGATAGTGTAGTATAATTAATAGAGTTCGCTTGACCTGGGATACAAATGTCACTGGATCATTTTGCACACCAGGGAACGTGGCATTGTTGCTTGACTGCTCCCCCTGTCAGTGTGCATTTTTGTAAAACAAAGGTGCAGCATGTTAACTAGAGAGAGCTGACATGTGGATTGAATGAGATGATGATGACAACAATAGCTAACATTTATCGAAAGCCTACCATACTGTAGGCATTGTTCCAAGCTCTTCCTGGCAGCTCTGTGAGTTAGGTATTGCATTTGTCCCCATTTTTACAGAAGAGGAAACTGAGACACAGTGACGTTAGGTTATCCATCTAAAGTGTGTATCATAGTATTTGGCACATAATTAGAGCTCATGAAAATTAGTTGTTATTAAGTAGATAATACTGGCCATATTCATTTTGACTCCTGTGCCAGCCCTTTTTGGATCTTTTAGATTTCATGTAATGCTGAGATTGATTTATTCCTAAATGGACTCATGAGAAGCTACAGTACTGGGGGTTGAGTTCCATATAGGAATGCTTTGACATTTTGATGAGAGTTGAAAGGAAGGCATGTCTTAATTAGAAATGGATAATTTATGATCGAAAAGATGAGATAGTTTGTGAAAAAGTTATAAGAGAGGTGCTTCATAAAGCATAAAACAGAAGGTGGAAACATTTTAAAATAGTGCAAATGGTTAAGTGCTTGACTACTAACCTAAAGGTTAGTGGTTCAAACCCCCTCAGTGTCACTGCAGAGGAAAGGTCTGGCAATCTGCTTCCATAAAGATTATAGCCATTGAAAACCCTACGGAGCACAGTTCTACTCTGTAATACACGGGTTCACTATGAGCTGGAATCAATTTGACAGCAGTGAGTTTGTTTTTTTGGTTTATATAGGTTTGGAAATAATTTTCAAATGTGAGTTTGCAATCTATATTTCCACTTGATACATGAATGCTTGACTGTAGACTTCCTCTTCCCTTAATAATTTTTAGGGCCACTGTAGTATTTCTATATCTGTGGTTTAAAATTTATGCTGAATATTTCTAGTAGTTCAGTAATATAAATGAATGAAATCTAGATGAGTTTAGGAATATAGGTGAGACTAGTTCTGGAAGGTCAGTGCTAACAGAACATCTTTCTCTGCGAATAGCTTTTGCTACCTTTTTTATGCTGCTCCCCTCTCCCCACCTGCAAGCTTGTAACATAAACAAGATCTGTTCTTTTTTACAGCTGGTCAACTCAGGAGAGGATGTCCTTGTGTTCTACAATGACAGAGCCTCTTTCCAGACTCTGATCCAGATGATGAGGTCAGAACGGGACCGCATGGATGAAAACAGCCCTCTCATGTACCACATCCACTTGGTGGAGCTCCTGGCCGTGTGCACAGAGGGCAAGAACGTGTACACTGAGATCAAGTGCAACTCCCTGCTGCCGCTGGATGACATTGTCCGTGTGGTGACCCATGAGGACTGCATCCCGGAGGTAAGAGCCCTGACTGGACTGTGCCCTTCTTGTCTCTCTCCATGAGTGTGTGGTCCTGGGCTTGGTGGCAAACTTCAGGGTGGCTGGCGAGGATGAGACCTCAACAGAGTTTTGAGAACTGCAGCTCATTTCATAGTGAGATTTCAGTTTGCTGAAACAAAATTTTCTTGAGTATCGATTTTGTGAGAACAGAATGCGGGGGAAGTTGGTCTTTTCTTCTATCTCCTTAAGAAGAGTTGAAAACTCTTCCCGCTCTTCAGAAAGAACTTCTGAGAAATGAGGTTAAGAGTGGGTTCATATAAATGGATGAATTATTCTGTAAGTTTATTCTTTAAAAAGGAAAATTCTTCAAAGATAATACGTGATCATTTGTAGACAATTTAGAAACTACAGATAATAAAAAAAATAAAAATCATCTAAAATCCTACAGTCCATAATAAATACCTATTAAGTTTTCTTTTGTTGGTCTCTTTTTTTAAAAAAAGAATTATTGTGGTAAAACATATATAACAGAAAGTTGGCCATTTTAGCTGTTTTTGAAATAGAGTTCAGTGACATTAAGTACACTAACCATGTTGTGCTACCACCACCACTGTCCATTTCCAAAAGTTTTACCCCAAACAGAAACTCTGTGCCCCTTCAGCAATTAACTCCCCAGTCTTCCCTCCCCTGAGCCCCTGGTAATCACTAATAAACTTTTGTCTCTATGTATTTATCTATTCTAGATGTTTCACATAAGTTGGTGGTCATACAATATTTGTCCTTTTGTGTCTGACTTATTTCAATCAGCATAATGTTTTCAAAGTTCACTCATGTGGTAGCATGTATCAGAATTTCGTTCCCCTTTATGATGGAATAATATTCCATTGCCTGTTAAATTTTTTAAGTAAATTCTTCCAGACTTTCTTTTCCCCATTTATATTATTTAATAACAAAATATGGATCATACAGTATATGTTTTATTCTTGTATGTTTTAAAATCTATATTATTTGTATTTTGAACGAAATATAAAACCAAAACCAAACCCATTGCTATCAAGTTGATTCCAACTCATAGCTATCCCATAGAACTGCCCCATAGGGTTTCCAAGGCTGTAAATCTTTATAGAAGCAGACTGCCACATCTTTCTTCCACAGAGTGGCTGGTGAGTTCAAACCTCCAATCTTTCGGTTAGCAGTTGAGCGCTTTCACTACTGTGCCACCAGGGCTCCTTAAATATACTTACATATAAATATGCTTGTATAAATCTATGTATATATAGCATGTTATATATTGAATACCGTATTTTTATGCAAGTAACACGCTCATTTGGTGTTTGTTTGACAGCCGAGCCCTCCCCTCATGATGTATTCTCTTAAGTGCACTATGCTAATTTTTTTTTACAGTAGCATGTGAGAAAGGATTGGCATGGCTGTGCTTGTGAGGGTGCCTTGCGGGGGGAGGGCTCAGCCAGCAAACAAATGCAGAAGGCGTGTGCTATTTGCTTAAAAATACAGTTTATATGTTTTTAGATTAATTTTTTTGAAAAGGTAATAGATTCACATGGTTCAAATATCAAAAACTATAAAGTGCTAAAGGAGCCCTGGTGGTGCAGTAGTTAAGCGCTCAGCTGCGAACTAGAAGGTTGGTGGTTTGAACTTAATAATCATTAATTATTATTATTATTATTATAATCTCGTTATATTATTATAAATTGGTTCAACACTCACAGAAGGCAATTAGGGTAAATCTGTATGACAGAATTTTATGCAATTATAAAAGAAGAAGGTGGAATCTTTTTATAGACTGATATGGAAAGAAAATATGGAGTTCCAGTGCAGAATAGTGTACTTAGAGTGCTACCTTTTGTGTAAAAAAAAAGGGGGGGGGAGGGATAAAGTATATATAATTTATATTTGGACACGTTTCATGGCCATGACCTTTCAGAAGCAGATAGCCAGGCCTTTCTTCTAGGGCACCTCTGGGTGGGTTTGAACTGCCAGCCTTTCGGCTAGTACTCAAGCGCTTGACCACTTGCGCCACCCAGTGACCACTGTGGTGTCTCATAGTGGTTTTAATTTCTATGTCCTTGATTACTAAATGTGGTTGAGCCCCTTTTTCCATGTGTTTATTGGACATTTGATTTTCCTCTTTTTAAAAAAATACTAGATCAAATGATTGCCTTTCGTTTTCTATTCGGGTGTCCATCTTATTTGTACTAATCTATAAGAGCTCTTTGTTGGTTAAATGCATTTCAAATATCTTCTGTCATTCAACGCCATTTAACTCTTTCAATGATGTATTTTTATGAACAGAAAGTTTTCATTTTAATGTAATCGACTTTGTCCATCTTCTCCTCTATGGTTTGTGTTTTGTTGTGTCATGCTCTACCTTGGGATCATGAAAATATTCTCTTCCAAAGCTTTATATTTTTGAATTTCATAATGGCTGATTTTGAACATCCAAAAAGCATAGAAATTGAGCTGGCAGGGGAAAATGGAATAACTATCTGGTCTGTCCTCTCACTATTAACATGAGACAGCTACGCAATATCACCTATGCCAACCTGGTTTTTTTCAGAAAAGCCTGTTTCTATCTTCCAGGTTAAAATTGCGTACATAAACTTCCTGAACCACTGCTACGTGGACACTGAGGTGGAAATGAAGGAGATTTACACCAGCAATCACATGTGGAAGTTGTTCGAGAATTTCCTTGTGGACATCTGCAGGGTAAGGCTTTCTGGAACTAAGGAGGCAGCGTTAGTGTGTGTATGGGACTGGGCATCCCTGCATGGAAGGAATGCAAATGATTGTGTAATTTAAACTCTTAATTCACACTTCTCATTTCTTTCTACATTTTGCTCTTAGCTGAGAATAGATTCTAGTTATCAAGTTTCAGGGAAGATAGGTTGTTTCTAGTTTCTACTTCACTCCTTATGGATTGATTTGTGAATAATAACCTGGGACATATGTAAATCAAATTGATAAGGCTTATTTTCCTTGATAATATGATGTCCTGTCTTCGAAGGACACCTTCCTGCCCTTGCGCATTTATCTCCTACAATCTCATGCTGAGGATTTTACAAAGTGCTTCACTTCCTGACTTTTGCTTTCCTGGCCCAGCAGTTGGGATGGGCTTCAATATACTTAATTTGGTTTTGTGCTTAAGCTTAATATTCACTCCAAAGGCATGAGGCTACTACATAACAAAGCACACCATGGATTTAATATGAGTTTTATGGTGATGGAGTTTGGATGGGGACAGGTGACAAGGTTCTTCAGAGAATAATTGTGAGATATATCCCTATTTCAGAAACATTTATGATGTTAAAAAGGAAAAAGGGTGTACTTTAGAATCATACAATGTGGTATTTTTCTGCCTGACTTTACCAGTGTGAGGCCAGGAGCCTACAAGAACTTATTGTCTTTCTAACTGAGTACTGTATTTAATAATACTCAGGTATTAGTGTCGCAGACATATTTTTATTTTATCTCAAACTCTTCCTAGTCTTTTAATCCCTTAAATTTAGGGCCTTTGCCTTAGAATGGGAGGCCAACATTGTTTCTTTACATTAGACAACAACAACATTTTTCTGTAAAAGGCCAGATAGTAAACACGTGTTTGACTTTGTGGATTATCTGGTCTCCATCCCAGCTACTCACCTCTCCCCTTATAGCCCGAAAGCAGCGTAATAATATGTAAACGAATGAGTGTGGCTATATTCCAATAAAACTTTATTTATGAAATTAGCCACTGGGCTGGCCCATCAGGCCTTACTTTGCCAACCCTCACATAAAGTTGTTCAGGAATACTGTAAAGTCGGTTACTAATTTCATTCTGTAAATATGACCTCAAACTTCCCGATATTAAGCTCAGAACGTAGTAGTCTGTTAATAAAACTTCATGTCAAAAAAAAAAAAAGTATTCTCTAAACCTGTTCTTCTGGCTAGTCTTATTCTAAGCAGCAAAAGTAAGCAAAATCTAAAATCTCTCCTCAACCCCAAACTTGTACAGGTAGTTGTCCTGAATCACAGCTCATTATTTTGAACAATGTTGCATATTAATAAAATTTTTTATTGAATGGAAGAGTGTTGGAGGGTTGTAGAATGTCAAGCACAAAGGACCTCAGTGATATAATTCACTTGCTTGATTACCTTGATTAGGAGTCCATGGCCTAGAGCAGATGAATGGCTTAACCAGAAGGGCAGTTTACTTTTAGTGGAAAATTAAAACACATGTAGTTACCATGCCTCTTATCATCCTTTGGGATTTTAGACTTGCTACACATGGGTAGGAAGTTAAACGTGATTAAAATGCCAATTTTATTGTATGATTCTATAGTTATGATATCTGAGCAGGTGTATTTCTTTTTCCGTGATTTATTTTTATTATCTCTTAAAGGGAGAAATATTGACCTGCAGGCCTTTACCTTTCATTTGTAAGGGTAATCAGTGGGAAGGGTCATGGATTTCTTAAGTTTACACCTGATATGCAAGTTTTGATGTAATCTTTAAAGCATCCAATTGTCTTCCAGGCCTGTAACAACACAAGTGACAGGAAGCACGCGGACTCCATTTTGGAGAAGTATGTGACCGAAATTGTCATGAGTATCGTTACTACCTTTTTCAGTTCTCCCTTCTCAGATCAGAGTACAACTTTGCAGGTAAGAAATAAAACTACAGATCTGGGGTATTCATAATGATCTTCAGTAGTTGGAGATGAAGCCAATTTGGGCAGTGAACCTTCTGCAAATGATTAATAAAAGTTGCCTTTCTCCTTGTGGAGGATAGCTTTACAGGATCCCTTGGATAAAGAAGTGTACCTGAGGATATTTTCCTATACTATATGTTTCTGATAGTTTCTTATTTTCTCTTTAAAATGCTCTTTCATTATTATTATTATTTTTGCTTCCATCTTGCTGACCCGCCTCCCCATCCTAAAGAGAGTTTTCAAATAGGTGCCAGCATATCATTAACACTTTTTTTTTTTTTTTTTTTTAAAAAACAAACACCTGCAAATCTCCCTTTTAACTGAGAGCTCATCAGAAACGGTGTACGGCTGGAGTAAGAAGTTGTTTAGCCATGACAGCAGGGTTGCTACCTTGCATAGCTCCAGAGGCACCATTCACGTTGAATTCTATGTTATTGCGCCCCCTGGAGTTGTTTAGTGTAGCAGCCCAAAATGATCATTCTCGATATACTTACAGTTTCAAAACCTTGAATCCGTGGATCTGGAGTATGTTTTCTTTTTTTAACTTGGAAAAAATCACTTTTTAAAAAAAATAATTTTCGTTCAGGTCCGTTGCTATGACAGTCTTACTGCAAACCCATATATACAGGCTGCAGAATGACAGCTGGTCTTGGTCTCCAGTGGCCGGAAGAGAAATATTAACCATCCTTGTCGTGGAAAGAGATAGGAGTTGTCCTGGGGTTGATAGGTGGCCTGGGGTGGTTGGATTTCAGGTAAATAACCTGATTAATGTAAGTTCTCCAAGGGAAGAGTGATTCATGGTCAGCATAATACTCATTGCTACCATTTATTAGGTACTGCTATACTCAAGTAACTATGCAGAGCAGTTCATGTAAGTCCAGAGCAGCCTGTGAGGTAGATGTATTTTGCAGCTGAGGAAACTGAGACTCAGAGAGATTAATTACCATGCCCAGCTATGCTCACAGCTATTAAGTGGTGTAATGATGATTTCAACACAGTTCTGTCTGACTCTAAAACTTGAATGAAGAAATTTTTAGCAAGACATCCAACAACAGCAACAATGTTTTCCTAGGAACTGATAGTGAACTACTTGGTTTAGAAGTTAAACTAAAGTGTCATATAATTACAGTGTTGCCTTTAGAATATCTGTATCTAATTGTGAATATTTGGGGAATAGGAACTTGTTAGTATGAGTTATGGGAGGCCAGAACGTATTCTTTACCAATAACTATTGTACTAAGAGCTGTCCAGGAAAGGTGCTCTGTGTTAGTAAGGTTAGACTTGCTTCTCTTAGTTTAAAGTGGCAATCACCATGGCAATGCCCATTTTCCTATAGGTTGTGAAACAGTATTACAGAACCAAAATGTTAAAGTAAATCAGTCAGATTAATTGGAAAACCATTAAACAGGTGCTTGTGTTTTGGTTTTTCATCTGGATCACTAGTCTTCCCTTCTTATCCTTTCTTGCTGTGAAGCAGTTGTTGACCCAGCTATTAAGCAGGCATTGCCAGGGAAATGATTCTTCAACATCGATGTTGTCACTGCATAACAAGGCCCAGGTAGTCCACATGCATTTAGAAGATAAAGTCCAAGTTGTCTTTTTAGGTTTCTGGTTTTTTTAAGAGGTGGCTTATGGAATTCTGGAGCATTTATTGGGTACTATTTTTGAGGCTCTTATTTTGTTTATCTGTTGAAAGGCATATGTCTTACCTCCCCATCTAGATTTTTTCCTTCCTTCCTTCCCTCTCACATTTGTGAGGGGTGAGAATGGAGAACTTGTGTTTGGTTGTGTTGCATTTAAGGTGCCAATGGAATGTCCAGGAGGTAGCTAGAAATAGGGGATTGAGGAAGGAAGAAGTTCGGAGGCTTTAAAGTAGACAGAGATGGGCTTAAATCCCTGTTGTGCCCCATAGGAGCTCTGTGAACTTGGGTAGTTCATTGAACTTCAGAGCTGCTTTTCTTAGATGTGAAATAGGGATAATATTAACCTTGCAGTTATTGTCAGAATTAGAGATAATGTTTATGAAACATCTAGCATAATCCATAGTACATAATAAGAACCAAACCAAACCCCTTGCCATTGAGTCTATTCCAATTCATAGCGACTCTAAAGGACAGAGTAGAACTGCCCCATAGGGTTTCCTAGGCTGTAATCTTTATAGAAGCAGACTGCCACATCTTTCTCCTGCAGAGCAGCTGGTGGATTTGAAGTACTAACCTTTCATTTCCCAGCTGAGTACTTAACCATTGTGCCACCAGGGATCCTTTAGCACGTAATAGAAGCTTAATAAATGGCAACTTGTACTATTCTCTGCTAGACTGTAAGCTGGATAAGGGCAAGATATGCCTGTGTGCATAGTTATCTCATATATTGCTGTATCTTGAAGCTGTCATTGTGCCTGGTGCCTAGTAGATACTAATTTTTGGAGTGATAAATGAATCAATGGATGAATGAGACTCAGGAGAGTGACAGAGACCCAAGATTAACATTTGCTAGTTGAAGTCTTGGTCAGGAAAATGAAGTGGCTGACCAGAAGGGAACTGTGCAGAGCACAAATAGTTAAGGACAGGGCGTAAAAGAGGCCAGAGGAAGGTGAAAGTTATCGTGGAGGCAGGATGAGATTCAGGAGCAAGTGGGAACTCAGGACCTAAGAAAGGAGAGACTCTGAGGAAGAAGGTGATGGGCAGCCCTGTCCGCTTTTGCCCAAGAGGTTGAGTAAGGGAATGCCAGCAGATAGCCCATGGATAGGGATATTTAGGAGGCAGGTACTCTGGCCACTTTATTCATCTTTTGTCTAGCCAGGTGTTAGATGGGAGCAGAGCAGATGCTCAGTAAATATCAGTTTAATTCAAATTAATTTAGTCAAAGGACACTTTTTTCTTTATATTAGTCTGTTGGGTCCCCCTCCTAACTCCAGCACTTAGTAGCCAACAGGGCCAGTAGTAATACTATTGTTTATATCATAGGGTTCTGGTGAGGGTTAAGTGAGATTTATCTAAAGCACTCAGCAGTAGGTCTGGCTCTAGCAAGTGCTCTGCGCATAAATGGCTGTTCCTGTGGGGCCCCTGGAGTTGGCTCAGGAGCTAAGGAGCAGCCACTAGGCTCGGGAACTGTTGGGTATTATCACTCATCTCCTCAGTAAATATCAGGGTTTCTCAACAAATCTCCCAGGCTCCCTGTGCTCCTGTCCTCTGCTAGTAGCACAGTTTACTGGCTTGGACAGCTGTGGGATATAGGACAGAAAGTACTCCCTGAAGAAAGCAATAAGGTCCTAGTTCCCAGACGAACTTGGTGGGAAGAGTGTGAATTTTTGGCATCAGAGAGTTCTGAAGTCAACTCACTGCTCTGTTATGACTTCTGAGTCCTTTTGGATTCTTTCTTTAACCTTGCTGGGCCTTCGTGTTTCATTTCTGACCTGGAGGGAGCTCCTGTGTCATAGAATTGTTACTGAGGCCCCAGTGAGATCATATGTCAAGTATCTGGCACATAGTACACACTTAATAAATGGCAGTTATCGGAACAATGTTTATAGGGGAGGTTCTGGCTTTTTATTATTCTTTTTTTGGGGTGTAATACACTTCTTTTTTTGCCTAGCACTTTCAGTTTTTTTTGCTTCTATCTCAGAAACCTGTCTAGAGAGATTTTCATTTTTTTTTTTTTCCTTCACTATGTTAGCGTCCCGCTAATTTTTGGAGGGACTGTGCCAGTCCCTTCCCCACAATTAAAGTCCAGTGGGGCAGCTCACCATATACAGTTATCTTTGCCTTGCAGCCAGCCTAATCCAGGTAGCTTTGGATTGGAGACCAAAATTGTAACTTTTAAAGGCATTCAGAAAGTCAGTATCAAATTGATTAAGTGGAAGTTTGAGCTCTCTTACTTGGAAATGAGTACAAATTTATGCCTTTGTAGAGAGGAATAAATCCTACCATGTAGTTAACTGCCAAGTACTCATCTCTAGTAAATGAATACCTATGAAGAGTAACCATCAGAACTGTCTTCTCTTTATATCATTGACAACATTGCCATAAAGAAGTCAACTGCGTTTTAGCCAAGATCCATTTATCAGTTTGTTTCTGTTGATTAAAGTATAGATTCTACTTATAGGATAGATGTGGAAAGAACTTTAGGTAGATCTGATTCAATCCATGTATTTTACATATGGGATGAAGCTAAAGCCCAGAGAGGTGAAGTTTGCCGGAAGTCACACAGCTAGTTGGTAGCTGGACAAGAATCCCTGTCTTCAGTCTTTGACCCCACTGCTCCTTCTTGTGGTCAAACCTAGATAGATTAAGTCAAGTTTGTGCATAGGCTTAAAATGCTTCTGAGTTTCTCTTCCTTAGCTAGGTAACCTGTGGAATCCAGCTCATAACCAAGCAGCCCCTTCCACTCTTGCCAAAAGATGCCTTAGCCCGTGGTTGAGGCAGCGTTGCTTCTGATCCGTGCTTCAGTAACCTGCAAGGAAAAGCCCTTTTTTTACCTTGCCTCTCTTGGACTCTCTTTCTTGCAGACTCGTCAGCCGGTCTTTGTGCAACTGCTGCAAGGCGTGTTCAGGGTTTACCACTGCAACTGGCTGATGCCAAGCCAGAAAGCCTCCGTGGAGAGCTGTATCCGGGTACTCTCGGATGTAGGTAAGACAGCAGTTCAGTTTGGACTTACCACGACGAAAATGAATTGCCTCACAGTAATAAAGGCCAAATTTATTGAGCACTTGTGACATCTCTCCTAGGTTACACAAACAGGAAGCTAGGAAGTTGCAGAGCCAGAGCTGGAGCTGAGGTCTTCTGATTCCCAGACCTAGCTTTTATCTACTGAGCTAGCATTTCCCAAAATAAGAGCCAGTAAGTCCCAAAGTAAGAGCCTTGAAAAACAAGATTCCATGGTTAAATGTTAGGCAACTCTTGGCAAGTCTCAGTGCACGCAGGCTTGTTCAAGTCCTTGAGAAGTCCCTCGTTTAGGAGACTAATTTGTTTAATCCAGCGAGTGTATTTGACTTTATGAAAACATTTTGTCCCCCTGTAAAGCACCTATCAATATTCCAATGAATACCATTTCTCAGAAGTGGTACACTACTCCCTTTTGTCTCTCACTGGTAAGTGGTCCTCCACTCCAGTCCACTCTTCCCGTCTCACATTTCATAGGCAGCTTTGAAAGGAAGTTATGAAAATTGCTGCTTTTTCACCCTGACTTTATCAAATGTTAACACTTTCACTCTCCACCTCCCCAATAAATGCTATGCAAAGGGGTAAGCTTCCTGCCTAAAGTTGAGAAGAAAATCACCTGCCTGTGGTAGGTATTTAGATCTCTGTAGACAGTAACCAAGGAGCCCTGGTGGTGCAGTGGTTAAGTGCTCAGCTGCTAACTGAAAGGTCAGCAGTTAGAACACACTAACTGCTCTGTGAGAGAAAGACATGGCAGTCTGCTTCTGTAAAGATTACAGCCTTGGAAACCCTATGGGGCAGTTCTACTCTGTACTGTAGGGTCACTATGAGTCAGAATCGACTCGATGGCAACTGGTTTAGACAGTAACCAGAAAACCAAGCCAGGTAAGCTTCTTAGCACTATTTAGTGGCTGTCCTGCTGGTATGGATTGTGTTTATTCGAGCTTGTTGCCTGATTTTACTAGTCCCTGCCTGATTTTCTCTAGTCGCAGATGGTAGGTATTAGTGTCTTTTTATTTTTATTAGTTATATGGCAGTATTTGTCAATAGTATTTTGTAAGTCTTTGGAACTCAGCACCCTACACATTCGTGATGTGATATCTCAGAATCAAGGCCCGAACAGGGAATCCCCAGATAACCCTCTACTGTCCCCATTTTAGTCCCCGGGTGATGCAAATGGTTAATGTGCTCAGTTGCTAACCGAAAGGTTGGACGTTTGAGTCCACCCAGAGGCACCTCAGAAAAAACACCTGGCAATCTACTTCCAAAAAATCAGCCACTGAAAACACTATGGAGCACAGTTCTACTCTGACACACGTGGGGTTGCCATGAGTTGAAATCAGCGTAGTGGCAACTGGTTTTGGTCCCCATGTTGAACCTACATCATAAAGGATGTGCTTGTTAAGGCCAAAGAAAATGTATGAGCCTTTGCCACAAAAGCTAGTTGGTTAAAATTTGAGCAAGTGGCTGCCTTAACTAGGAGGTGAAAACTTTCAATAGTTTTGGCGGTAATCAGACACGGAGAGCTTATGCTTATGAAAAGACAGGGCATGAAAACAGCAAACCCATTAGCTCCTTCCTGGAACTGGTCCTTATGGCCCTGGGGGCATAAACTCCTCCTGACTAAAAATCGCACCCAGATGGCCACTATTTTAGTTGTTTAGCTTGAAAAAACATATCCAAGGCCCATAGTTTCTAGCCGAGACAGTGAATCCTGAGTGGCCTGCTTTTTATTTTTATAGTATTTGTATTTTTTCTGAATTTCCTACTTTTAATATTAAAGTGTTAGGGGGCAGTGATGGTTTAGTGGTAGAATTCTCACCTCCTGTGTGGGAAACCCAGGTTCAATTACCGGCCAATGCACCTTATGCATAGCTCTCACCCATCTGTCTGTGGAGGTTTGTGTGTTGCTATGATGCTGAACAGATTTCAGTGGAGTTTCCAGACTAAGATGGACTAGGAAGAAAGGCCTGGAGATCTGCTTCCTAAAATCAGCCAATGAAAACCCTATGGATCACAACGATCTGATCTCATTGTACATGGGCTTGCCATGAATCAGGGGCCGCTCAGTGGCAGCTAGCATCACACATGTCTCTAAGGCATCTCTCACAAAAATTGTCAGCTCATGAGTCATCTTTCTTCTGTGCAGCTAAGAGCCGGGCCATTGCCATCCCTGTGGACTTGGACAGCCAAGTCAACAACCTCTTTCTGAAGTCCCACAACATTGTGCAGAAAACAGCCATGAACTGGCGGCTGTCAGTCCGCAATGCTGCTCGCAGAGACTCTGTCCTGGCTGCTTCCAGAGACTACCGAAACATCATTGAGCGATTGCAGGTAATACCTGGTGCTGAGAGAAGCAGTACTTACCTGGCTTCAGGTGGTTCCCAGATACAGCAGTGCTTCCTTGCTTTGGAGGAAATCCAAGACTGGCCACAGGGAGATGTTAGCGTGGTGAGTAGATAGTCAAAGGTAATAATGTATGTATGCCCAAGAGTGTGAAGCTGCTTAGGAAGAGAAAGTCTCCTGACAAAGCCATGGTCTTTTCAAGGTTATTCATAGATTTACAGATTTCTTTGTGAAGAATGGGGAATCTGCTCTTATTAGAAAGAAGAAGTCAAGGATTACAAGAGGCTACTTAGAATAAGGGCATAAGGCTCCATTTTTTCCCCATTACCCTAGGATATTTAGCCTCCTGAATCAGGAGGTAAGCAAGTGTAATGATGCTGGAGAGCAGAGTTTTGTATCAGAATAAGCCAAAGGAAAACCAAGTGTTATTAAATTCTAATTAGGTTGTACTCTTTCTTTCTTAGTGCCTACAGGAGATCTGCTCTCCCTTTGTTAATGGGGGGAGTAGCAAGTATTAGATGAAAGTTAGATACTTTAACATCCACCTTAACATCTTTTTTTAACAAGCACCCCCAGTTTATTCTCTCATGGGCAGTAGCACCTGGACCACAGTTTGAGAATCACAGATCTTTAGGATGAGCATGAAGCAGTGACGAAGAATGTGGTCCTGGGCCAGATGGCCTGGGTTCAAATCCTGGCTCCGCTGTTCAGAAACAGTGTAACCTTGCGAAAGTTACTTAACTCCTCTGCGTTTCAGTTTCCTAATTTGTAAAACAGCATAATAGTAACACCTACCTCATGGGGTTGATGTTATGATTAGGAGAGTTGAGACGTGTGTCAGTTATCTATGTCTGTGTAACAAATCACCCTAAAACTTAATCATTTAAACCCGCAACAATTTCTGTATTACCTTTCCCCTTCTGAAGGTTGACTGACTTAGCTAGGTATTTCTTGCTCAGGATCTCTTATGTGGCGACAGTCAGAGGGTAGCTGGAGTTGGACTCATCTTGAAACATTACTCACTCACAAGTTTGGCAATTGATGCTGGTTGTCAGTTGGGACCTCAGCTGGGGTTGAATGAAACCTCCTCATGTGGTCAGGGCTTCCTCACAACATGACAGCTGGGTCCCAGAGTGAACATCTCTGAATAGAGACAAAGTGAAAGCCTTTTACGACCTAGCTTCAGAAGTCACATCGCATCTTCTGCCATACTCTGTTGGTCAAGGCAGTCACGAAGGGCCACTCAGGTTCAAGGGGAGGGTTCAGAGACCACTCTTCAAGGGGAGAAATGTCAGGGTCACAGTGTAGGAAGAATGTGCAAGATAGGGTCTACTGTGGTGGCCATCTGTGGAAAATAGAATATACGTAACATAGATCAGTACCTGGCATATAGCAAGCACTCAATAAATGAGGGCTGCTATTATAATTATTATTAACTGTTCTTATTGTTGTTACTACTGTGACTATAATAATCACCATTGTATATAGTAACTAAGTCTCTGTGAGTACATAAGTCACCTAAAGACAAACGAGTTCATCGATGCGCCCCTCGGCCCCATGCTAGGCAGTGAGGATACAATGGTGAGCAGAAACAGAAACCTTCTCTGGCTTCATGGAGTCTTAAGTCTAGGTGGGGAGACAGATATTAATCAGCGGATCACGCAGACTAGAGAAGAAAGGGACAAAGGCTGAAGAGGAGAAGAGCATAGTGCTGTGTGATACTCTGATGAGGGACCTCTTGCTGTCGGGTTGGGAGAGTGGTTGAGGAGGACTCTGCTGAGGAAGTGACATTTGAACCACGATTAGAAGGAACAATTAAAAAAAAAAAACAAAAAAACACAACCCATTGCCGTCAAGTCTATTCTGACTCATAGCAACCTATAGGACAGAGTAGAACTGCCTGATAGGGTTTCCAAGGAATGGCTGCTGGATTCGAACTGTCGACCTTTTGGTTTAGCAGCCGAACACTTAACCACTATGCCACCATGGCTCCCGAGGGAAAAATAGGACTTATTTAAAGAAAAGAAGGGCAGTGGTGGTTCAGTGGTAGAATTCTTGTCTTCCACGCAAGAGACCTGGGTTTGATTGCCAGCCAATGCACGATCTGTCACTGGAGGCTTGTATGTTGCTGTGATGCTGAACAAGTTTCAGTGGAGCTTCCAGACTAAGACAGAAAAATCAGCCAGCAAAAACCCTATGGATCACGAAGGTCCGATCCCATTGTGCTTGGGTTCGCCATGAGTCGGTGCCAACTCGACAACAGCTAACAATCACAAAGAAAAGAATGGGAGGGAGGAGATAGCGTGTGGAAGACCATAATATAGGAGAGGATATAGCACATTCAAAAGAGGATTCGTGTGGCTGGGGACTCTGGAGCTGGGGGGTCAGAGGGGCCGGGAGGTTGCCAGGGCTTTGCAGATCAAGGTACGAATTTCAGCCTTTATTGTCACAGAGGCAGTTCTTAAGCTAAGGTCACTTGGTTCCTGATAGAGTGATTCCCGACCCTACTATGCTTTCAGAAAGGGGAGGGATATTGTGGATTCTTGGATTTGTTATGCATATTCTTGAGGAGTGAAATAAAATGTATAGATAGGTAATGCTTGTTATAAAGACTTGGCCATTGGCTTACAGGGGTCTTCATTATCCAATTATTTATTGTCTGAGTCCCTGTAGTTATAAGATTGCCTAGGAGAGCAACAGTTGTCATGATGGAAGCACATTCACTCGCAAACCGACCACTTACATAATTAATCCCTATGCAGACATCCCCTTTCTTAACACTGGCATCTTTCCCTGCCCATCGCTTTGCCATCTCTGTCTATTGGCCCCCCTCTGATTGCCGAATGTTGTACATTTGACAATACAATGCAAATCACTTGCAATGTAAAGTTCAAATCTTGCAAAAGATGCAGGATTTTGTGATATACACTAATGTGATGTTGAAGAACTACTTCTACCCGATGCAAATGCTGCCGACAAAGATCTGCTAGAGGTAGGACCAGGCATGACTGAAGAGGAGAAAGTTGGTTGCTTCCAAAAAGGAACCTTATGAGGAAATGTTGGGGAAGGTGATGAGACCCTCAGAGAACTTTGTGGAAATTAGCTTCTTTTTGACAGTGCTGTGAGCATCAAGTATGACTTATGGGATGTTGCAATATACTGTCTATCTACAGTCTTATAGATAATTGCCCCTCCCAAATCAACATTCGATTTCTTTTTTATTCATCCTAAGCATTATTGTGTGATTACAACTACCACCTAAAATTTGTTAAAGATAAGATAGAGTAAAATTATCTTCATATCTTTTAGTTTGATTTTCCAAACAGAAGATCAAGCAGTTCATTATTGACCATTACCAATGAAATTTTGGTGTCCCATTGAGGTGAATATGATTTAAGGGGTCTTCTCCATGTATATCTCCTTGGTTGATGTGCTGGGTTCTGTCCCGGTATTCGATAACATGCCTCGAGTTAGGTGTTGAGTGACCAAGCCTTCCAGCTGGCTTTAGCATCTTTTGAAGATATTTTCTCATCTGTTTTCTGCCATTTGCCTTTATATGGTGTTTGTTGTGTTGGTTTTGCTGCTCTTTCAACTTCTCTCTGTTTTCCTTTCCTACAGCTATGTGTTTTGCATTTGAAGACCATCATGCTATCAGGGTACATGTACTTAGCATGTTGATACAGCATGTTCATTCATTCGTGTTCTCATGTTTATATGACTTTATTCTATGAGTAATCCATGTTCACTGTAAAATAATTGGACAATACTGGCAAGTATTAATATATAGAAGATTCTTAGAATCACCTGTAATCCGACCACCCTGCACTAACTAACCATCATGTTTTAGTAATATTTGCTGTATATCTGTTACATACTGATGTTGTTTATAAAAATAGGATCATACGGTCCATACTGTTGTTTGAGCATTTTGACACTCATGTCGCAGACATCTTTCCATGGTGTTAAATATATTTTTTTGCCTCATATTCTAAAATATACGGAATGATCCCTCAAGTAGCATAAGACCATCTCAAAAGAAGGGGTGGTGGGAAAGTTGACTTTTTTTTTTTTTTTTTAGCTTTCTTTTCTGCATCAGGGGCTAATGCTTCAGGTAACCATTGGGCGACATCTAATAATTTGAGATAAATGCCAGACGGTACTAAAGTTAATCTGACCTAGTCTAGCCTGTGTGTTGTCGTAGGTCAGAAATAAGCGTTCTCGCCCTCCTGTTGCTCTGCCTCCAGCTGGGACTGTTGACCAAGGCTGTGCTTCCGTTCCAGGATATCGTCTCTGCGCTGGAGGACCGGCTCAGGCCCCTCGTGCAAGCTGAGCTGTCTGTGCTTGTGGATGTTCTCCATCGACCTGAGCTGCTGTTCCCAGAGAACACAGACGCCCGAAGAAAATGTGAAAGTGGGGGCTTCATTTGCAAGTAAGCCGCCTCTCCCTCTGGGGTGATGCACTTGTCAGAGCCCTGATGGCCACGCCAAGCACTGATTCCCAAAGAAGGAGACAGTGTTTTTCACTTTGATGAATGCATGCGCATGTGCTAGAGTCCTGTTCTGACCTTCCCAAAGGAAGTTAGTAGACGAAATCCTACTTACTGAGACTGTTTTGGTTGAGAATTTCTCATCTTAAAGACATGCCCATTCATTCATTTTCCATTCAGTAAGTTTCTGTAGTGCACTCACCGTGTGCTGTGATACAGACATAAAAAACCCATGACCTTCTGCCCTGAAAGAGCTTGAGCCTACCAGGACCTCACAATCTTTTCTTAACCACTTTGTAGCTTCTTAGTTTAGGCCCCGGAGCATAATCTAAAATAGAAATTTTCCAGTGACCAGAAATCTCCATTTTTTTACCCTCAGGTTGTTTGTTTAGCTCTGCCCATGAGTTTCTTAATTTTCTGGACCCTTCTAAGCACAAGACTGTGGATAAGGGAGCAGTGTGTTTTTGCCCCAACCATCATCCTCAGGAGGTTTTTCACACCGCTGGCATATTTTAGCCATTTCCCCAGCAATCCTCAGTAGGTAAATAAATGCACTTCATAAATGAGCAGGTTTGAGTGGCCCCCTGTCTCCTTCCTCCTCTTCATATAACCCCTTCATCATATGTGGCACACTTCTGCCCAGCAGGTGTGTTTGCTGCTACTGACCAGCAGGTGTCGTTATTGAGATGCAGTCACTAACAGGTTGGCCTCGGTTCAGTGAACGCCCTCGAGTATGTTTAACCTGGGAGCCCTGAATAAATATTTGTTCATTAACTGACTAGATACCATACGTTGCTTGTGCAGTCTTTTACACATGTAAAGACAGTTTCAGGGACGTAATCCATGGTTTTCCCCCCACTCAGGTTAATAAAGCACACTAAACAGCTACTAGAAGAGAATGAGGAGAAACTTTGCATTAAGGTGCTGCAGACCCTCAGAGAAATGATGACCAAAGATAGAGGCTATGGAGAAAAGGTACTGCTTTTTATTTTCAAGTGAAAACCAGGTTTTACTATTAAATTGAAGAGGGGGTGGGGGTAAGGAATCTACTTTAGTTGAGCTATTACAGTATTGAAGAGGGGTTAACTTTTTTTTTTTTTAAGCCCTTTGTCCTACCCCTAAAGGTAGCTAAATCATATTAGCTACTCCATTGAAAGTCAAACATACACTTAGTCCTCTCTTGTAGGCTGCTTGCCACATAATCTGATGCCAGAGAAATAGTAATAACAAGATTTTTCATCTATTTAAATTCCCAGTGAAAATACAAATGCCTCTTGTATAGGAAAGTGTGCGTTCCTGAGTTTTGGGTTCCAACGACGCATACCTGTAGGTTTACTCGCTTCTGCTTTCGGGTGAGATGTTGCACAATCCTTCTTGTGCGTCCAGAAACTCCCTCCAGCTCTAACTGGAATTAAGGCAGGCTGACACGTAACCATTTCTGATTGAGATTGTGAAATGCACATCCTTGTGACCTGATATTTCTCAGCATGTGCAGTGAGCAAGGATGTGCAGAGACCTCCCTGACACCTCAGACTTGGTGACAGTGGGACAAAAGCAATCCCATTGCCTCACCTGTCTGCTCCCAGCGAAAAATCATGAGCCTGCAACAGAGAATTTGAGTTCAAATCTCACCAGTTTTCATTTGAATGTAAGAATTGTTTCTCAGGCATTTTTAGCAATAGCCTTTGAGTAGGTGAATACATGGATATCACTGACTTATCCAAATACCTAGTGATTCATTTACTCTTCTGTGGATGAAGCCTTGATAATTAAATCACAGCTTTCCCTTGTCAAAATGGATGGCAACAACCAGATTATTGTAAGTATGAAAGCATGCAGTAATCTTACTTTTACCCTAAGTAGTATCTCTCCTAAGTATTAGAGCAATTTAGCATAGGAGGATCTTTGGATAAGAAAAAAAACAGAGAAGTACACAATCCTTATTGCAGTACATATTGCTCCACAGTCCCTAATTCACAAGATTTTAAATGTCACTCTTCTCGTTTAAGAATATAAATTAAAAGATGAATAAATGTTGGCTAATTAGAAAATAAGTTTCTGTAACTTAATAGGAGGAAATCTTCCAGAAGAGATTTTATAAATGTAAATAATACAAGCTAAGAACACTGGTACAGCTGAAAAGCAATGAGATGACCTTTTCATATAAACACAGGTATGGGCAGCTCCACAGGTCTCACTTTAAAAAAAAAGAAAGAAAACAACAACAAAAACAGGTGGTGGGAGGGATACTGCTTACTGAAGAGAATACACTTACCAAGCAAATAAATATAACCGTTTATTTCACAAAATCTTTATTTTTCTTAAAGTGATCTTTAAAAAATGTTTTTAAACTGTGATTCTAGTTACAGAAATTCACTGTTCCTAATAAAATAAAATCTACCAGAGGGGCCTTCATCAGATAAGTGACTGTATTTGCCTCTGTGGGGCATAAAACCTGATTTTAAAATATGGAGATCATCGTTTTCTCTTCTTGAGAATATCCGCTCCTTTCTATAACCGAGGTATTTACAATAAACTCTGATGAGGGACATTCTTTCGGTGTCTCTTCTCCACATCCAGTGAATGTTACAAATTAGTGCAGAAACACTCTTTATTATATAAATATTGTTACATATTGTAGAAACATTATGTATTCATTTCCCTTAAGTGTTCTCTTTATAAGATAGAAAGTAAAATTGTTAGGAGTTTGTCGAGACTCTGTTCCTTGGCAGATGAGTGCTTAGGGTCTTTGGGACCTCTGCGAACGTATGCGTCAACATTCCTTTTCCCAACCCATAATGCCAACTGAGAGTACACTGTCATAGAAATGTTGTAACCTTGCCTGTTATAAAGCAGATGGCGAATGATGGAGACTGGGCTGTAGCTGGAGAAGACTCTGAAAGAGTAATTGATCAAGGCTTAGAATTGTTTCTAGAGCCCTCACTCAAGTCTCATCTCACCTGGTGAAGAAATTAGTCACACCCAAGCAGAAGGCTTGGAGGAAAGATGGCATTTCTTTCCAGTCTGGTTGGGGCTGTCATCTCTCTTCATGCAAGTTAAAATATCATAGGCAAGTATGAGAACTGCCGCATAGCCAAGGAAGACATTGTAGAGGGAGCCACGTTAGTCAGCAGCTCCAGTACCCAAAGCAAATACTAGCCGTGCTCCTGGCCCAATGCTTTGATTGTTGGAAAATGCTGGCTAACCATTCACATTAGTTGAACTTTAAAAGAGAGGGAGAGAAACTAAATGATTTCTATTTCTCCCTAGTCTGGCACTTGGTATAAGTTTTGTCCTGTTTCACAAAGACTTTGAAGATGGCTTTTGATGGTTTACTTGCTGTCCCCATTTGACTAAAGAAGCATGACGACCAGGACGAGCCAACTTTTTCAAGGGTGGAAATAACCCAGAACCAAGGAACGAAATTTTCTCAGGCAAACCAGTTGGGTTGCATCGTTAAAATAAATGAGATGTTCTTTGGGCCAGGTGCCGAGGCCACAGGGCAAGTGTCCCGATTTTCCTATTGAGCTGCCACTAATGTGGAACTTGTCCCATGACTAACACCTCCCTAGGGATGTCCAGAATTGTTCCCTGACCTCTCCTAAGTCTTCATTGTCACAGAATCTGATCCTGAGGGAACTCTAGCATCATCTCTTCCAGCCCTCACTCTGGCTGAGAGAGCGAAAGTACCTGCCCAGGTCACACGGAAGTCAAGACTAGATTGATTCAGTCAAGGTGAGGCCAAGACTAAATCTAGACTAGAGCCCAGGTTTCCTGAATCCAGGTGCAGTGTCGTCTCCAGCCTTCCCCCAGGTGTTGTCCACCCTGTGTGGGGGCCATGTTTTCTTGTCATTTTTTCTAATCTATAATCCTTCAAGGTAGTGAAACCTGGGTGCCTTTACTCATCTCTACTTTTTCATTCAACATATCAGGTTTAGTCAGTGTCACGGGTGAAAAAGAAAATTGACATGATTCTTTAATAGCCAGTTCAAAAAAGTTGGTGTCCTTGTTTGGGTCTACTTTCCTGGAAAAAAAAAAAAAAAAAAAAAGGTACTGAGAAATATCACCCATATTAGCAAATTGACTAATACATTACAGAGTCACTGTAAGACAGACTTACACTTTTTAAATGTCATTTACACCCACTAATTTCCTAGAGTACATTTTCAGTAACAGTGATAACATTTATTTAGCTCTTTTTGTGTGCCAGTCACTATACTAAGCACATTTCATACCTTAGCTCAAATGAGCCTTAGAGATAGATATCACTATTATTAACAATTCATACACAAGGGTACACATATGGAGAGGCTCAGAGAGGTTCAGGAACTTTCCTGAGGTCACACAGCTAATAACAAAGTGGCCAGGAATTCAAACCTAGGCCTGGGAAAAACCTTTTGCCATCGAGTTGATTCCGACTCATTGTGACCCTATAAGACAGAGTAGAACTGCCTCACAGGGTTTCCAGGGCTGTAATATTTATGGAAGCAGACTGCCACATCTTTTCTACATGGAGATGGCTGGTAGTTTCGAACTGCCAACCTTTCAGTTAGCAGCCGAGTGCTTAACCACTACCCCACCAGGGCTCCTCCCCAACCGAGGCAGATAGCCTGATTCCAGAGTTCTTTCTCTTCCCCATGGCATACTAAGTGAATAGGTTGGCACCATCTGAGAGTTTTGAAGTCCTCCTTCAAGTTTAACACTTAGGTTCAGTTGTGTTACGTGATTTTATAAACATCACGGAGTAGTGGCCCTGAGAGCTTGGAATACAGCAAAACTTACACATCTAGTCTTCATCTCAGTTCTGATTTCTCACCCAATTGAAAACATCCCCCAGTGGATGCCAAGTGACATTACAAGTTACAGTTGTCCCAAGGTCATCCAAAGACTCGTTTTGATCAGGCTCCACCCAAAGGTCTCAGATCAGTGAGTAGCAAGCAATTGGTCCACTCCTCTTGGTCCACGGGCCTGACAGGTGCTTGTCCAAAAACTGTCACAAATGATGGTAAGGGTGGGGCTGGTTGAAGAAGATTGTCACAGATATTCCATCACGATGACTTAGGGATAAAGAAAATTATTTTTAACTAGTGTGTGTCTACAAAAGGACCAGCAATGCGTAGTCTTCTCAGAGAGGGGTAGATATAAAATAAAGAAGTATTAAAAATTATCACCAAAATATCTGTGAAGTACAGTTTTGTATGATGCTGGTAGCCTCTTTCTACCCTATGTATTCACAATTAATAAACTTTAAAATTATACAGGGCTTTATGAACACTGTGTGTGTGCAATGCCTACTAAAGTGTTTTTAATCTACAGATAAGAATATGTCTGTTTAAAAGAAAATAACGTACCCTAGCTAAACTTCTCTAAAATTTAATCTGAGCCTCTCAGTAACCCATAGAAAAGCTTCAGGCCCCTACACCCTGCTTGAAAAGGGAGCATAGTTATTTTATGCAGTCTACTGTAGGTTTTAAGGCCGCTGGGTGGCACAAGCGGTTTGCAATCAACTACTAACCAAAAAGGCTGGCGATTTGACCCCACACAATGGTGCCGTGGAAGAAAGGCCTGGTGATCTGTTTCCATAAATATTACATCCAGAAAACCCTACGGAGAAGTTCTACTCTATAACACATAGGGTTGTCATGAGTCGAAATAGACTCAATGGCAACAGGTTTTGTTTTGTCTGATTTTTTTTTTTACTGTAGGTTTTATATTAAACTCCTGTTGCCTTCTTATTAGTCAACGAGCTTTGGAAAGAAATTCAGTGGTCAAGAATTCGTGTAAAAGGATAATTCAGGATTTATTTAAAATCCATTTTCCCTTCTGAGTAGTTTTTGCTGTTTTAGTACTAGAGAGTTTACGACCTCAGGTAATGTCAGGGTTTTCATTTCATACAAATTGTCAATCTGTTAATTACCGGTGCTTCTTTTTTCCAGGTGAAGACTAGTTTTTCTGGTAACGACTTAAATTTGCAA